GGTCAGACTTTTTTTCATAAAAACGCCAAAAAAAAAAGGGAAAATTTTGATTCTTAGATGGCGGAAAATGAGCTTTCCAGACTTCTGAGGTGTCTTTTAATGACTTTTAAGTTCTTCAAAATTCAAGGTTTCCCCCTCTTAAAAATGGTCAGGTAAACTTTCTCATTCTTATTACAGTAAATAGGCCTATTTATATGTGTATACGTACATAAACAAATTTGAGTTGCTTACATGTTCTTTTTTTCCATGAATGGATAACCCCAAAGAGGAAGGGGGTCTGGGGTTATTACAGTAAATAGGCCTATATGTGTGTATATACACGTACATTTAAAAAAAATTAGTTGCTTACGGCATTCTTTTTTTCCATGAATGGATAACCCCAAAGAGGAAGGGGGTCCGGGGTTATTACAGTAAATAGGCTTATGTGTGTGTATATACACGTTCATTTAAAAAAAATTAGTTGCTTACGGCATTCTTTTTTCCATGAATGGATAACCCCAAAGAGGAAGGGGGGATCCGGGGTCCTCGCCTGGGAAAATTTTAATCACTAGATGGCAGGAAATGAGCTTTTCCGACTTCTGAGGTGTCTTTTAATGACTTTTAAGTTCTGGAAAATTCAAGGTTTTCCTCCTCTTGAAAATGATCAGGTAAACTTTCTCATTCTTATTACAGTAAATAAGCCTATTTATGTGTGTATACGTACATAAAAAAAAAATGAGTTGCTTACGTATTCTTTTTTCCATGAATGAATAACCCCAAAGAGGAAGGGGGTCCGAGGTTATTACAGTAAATAGGCCTATATGTGTTTATACGTACATTTAAAAAAATTGAGTTGCTAACATATTCTTTTTTCCATGAATGGATAACCCCAAAGAGGAAGGCGGGATCCGGGGGTCCTCCCAGGGAAAATTTTGATCACTAGATGGCAGGAAATGAGCTTTCCCGACTTCTGAGGTGTCTTTTAATGATTTTTAAGTTCTTTAAATTTTAAGGTTTTCCTCCGCTTGAAAATGGTAAGGTAAATTTCTCATTCTTATTACAGTAAATACTAGTAGCCCTACTATGTGTGTATGTACAGTACATAACAAAAATTGAGTCGCTGCATGCATATTCTTTTTCAATAAATCGATGAACCCCAAATAAAATGGGGATCGGGGATCCTCCCCGTGAAAATTTTGGTTCTTAGATGGCGAGAAACGAGTTTTCCCGACTTCTGAAGGTTTTCCCCTCTTGTCAGGTAATTTTTTCTCATTCTTATTACAGTAAATAGGCCTGTGTGTGTACCGGTACACAGAGAATTTTTTTATTTTTTTCAATTTTTTTCAATTTATTTTTTTATTTTTTTTATTTATTTTTTCCAAGGGGGGGGGGGTCAGGACCCCCCTCAGATCCGCCAACATTTTATTTTTATTATTCTAATTAGAGACTAAAGCTGCCAAATACTATGGAAAATGTAGTCCCAATAGTGGTCTTTATTTGGAAGGAGTCTCGTACCACCAACAGTATTAAAGTAGCCAAAAGCTCAAAGCAAGTTTCTACAACTACCTACTGTATATACACTGCAGAATTTGTATAGCATTCTTTCATGATAAAAGTTAAAAAACAAAAAAAAAAATACCTTAAATTTACAAGAAGGATCTATAAATGCATTGTCATGACCAAGATTGTTTTCTACATGAAATAACTAAAACTATGATACATTTAAATAATAAACATTACTGATAAAAAATGGTATAATATAAAATCTATGAAATAAAAATGATACTTATATTATACAGTTAAATAACTATAATACATCTTGGGGAAGATTTATATCAACTTTCACAATTTAAGTAGCAATCAACTAATGGAGAAGGTTGAAATCACCCACTCGCTCCCCCTTCACCCTTAGCATTTCAAGTTACTGAATGCATTTGTGATGCTGCTATAGCCTATTCTCGGCTTGCTAGTGAAATCGCCTTGGATATGACAGGCTTTTCAATTCGTCTTATTACCCGGCAATACTCAAAATGCTACATCATCGATCATCCATTACGCTCAATGCGCTCGGCATCTTTACTCCTCCCGATTGCATCCCACAGCCTTCAAGCTCGATGAAATTTCTCCATTCCGACCTTGAACTGCTAAATTAAGTTGCGTTTTTCATTCGTTGCATGTTTTCTTGCCACGTCGATCGTTAATTGAAAACTGTATTTTTTACTTAATTCTTGAAATGTTGTCCCAAATATGATCAATAGTGCCAAAGAAGGCGTCTCAGAACTGACTGAACAAATTGGGACTAGGCAGAGAAATGGCGTCAAACATACAGCCTCATTTTCTTATGCGAACTAATCAGTAGTAACTGACTGTTCAACAAAGATCAGGAATTCAAATCATCTAAATTTTATAAGAGCAGAAACACTCCCAGCTCACAGAATGTTGGAATAGTAATTATGATCCACTGACTTCAAAATACAAGAGTACGATCTGGGTATGATGGCTATGACCGGAATCATTTCTGGATGCAAAAAATGGATAATTTTAATCTTTAATCATTTGTGTAACATGTAAAATAAATGCGAGTGAGGACAACAGAGTGGCACTATCGCATGGATGCTCCATCGCCACCATTATTATTGTTAGTGATTACGTAACAAAATACTACTACATGTTGTTTGTCAGCGTATACCAGGATGGATAGGTTGTTTAAAACAGACTCAGGCTACATTTATACACTTAAAGCAAAATACAGCATCAAACAAATTTTGCCAAAAGTGTAAACATGGAAAATTTAAATTGTAGGCCTCGATTGGATTTTGCTTTGCAAAATCGTGAGGTAATGGTCACCAGTGGCGGACCGTAGGGTGAATTGCAGGTTATGCTGGGCAGAAGCGTAACTAGGGTGTGCGCAGGGGCACCATGCCCCGAAAATACTCGTCCCTTTCCCCAGTAGCACCCCAAATCATGCTCAACCAGTTAAAAATCACATTAAATCACCTTATTTTCCGAGTTTATGCCCCCTCACCTAATCCATCCCCCTTCAACTTCCCACTCCAATCAGCTCCCCTTCTATTTCAAGTGTCAAGATACCCACTGATGCTAAGGCCTGCTAGCAGAAAAAGTTTGTTAGCCTATAATCAAAGATTGCATTCTATAGTCAAAATACAAATGTATATTCTTTTTTATATCCGCATGGTTGTAGTTTCTTCTCTTTAAAAGAATTCCTATTCCTGTAAGTTTAACAAATTTCAATTTAAATAATACAAGTTCCTTCTATACCAGTTGTATGTATACAAATTTACTTTAACTTTAATCATTGAGTTTACAGAACGTCTGGAATACAAATTACCTGATCGGCAGTGGAGGTCCTGATTAGGCTACTGTAGAGAGAAGCAGTGACGAGAAGAAGAGCATTCGCACATACTCTTGGAAGCGGTGCTTCCATTCCAGTGCTAAATTGGCTATTCTAATGCCACTACGCGGGTGGCACAATAGCAAATTTAAGCGTTATGCTCCCACTTCCATTGACTGAATACGCGATACTGAAAACCAGCCATGCGGAAATTCTAAACAGTTGAGTGTACAATGCAATAGGCCCGAGTGCGATTTATCCTAGATACCAAAGTAGGCCAAAAGTTGCTATTCCAAACTGTTAGCAATCCACTCAAAAAAATAAGTTTGTATAGATTGTGGCTAAGAAATGCTAAATAAAATGGAGAACTCTACAATAATTTATTAATTTTTCAGTTCTAGCCAGGGTATGCACTGCATACCTTGCTTGCCTCGACGGTCCACCACTGATGGTCACAAAGTGTCACTGGGACATAGCTGACTCGAAAATAACCCAAGGACGGGCCTAGTATAAAGTGTAAATGGAGCCATAGCACTAAGTTCTGAGAGCAACAACAAATTATGAGCACAGATCATACAGCTTCATAGAGCCCATTACATTCACTTGTCATATTTATTTGAATTACTTTATTTGTTGTTTGTATAAAAAATTGTTAATAAATAAATAATATATACCTGTCCCACATGAGACTGCAGTTGCATAACAATGCAACTGACATTGCAGAGCACATATTCGCGGATGTTCACTTGGAGGGTAAACTTGTAATTCAACTGGTGCACGCTCTTGAAATTTGCCCCAACATTCTCCTGTACACGGTGACATTCCATGTCAAACTCAAGAACCGTGCAGCCAACTTGTAAGCAGACTTTCTTTGCCAGGGAACTTAGAAATGTGTTGCGGTGTTCATAGTTGGTGGCGTGGTGGCAGGCTTCAGTGAAGTATGTAACAGATATGTCACATAAAGGGGTGGCTGTTGTGAATACCTGTCTCTTATACACATCTAGATGTGTATAAATAACTGAGTACTGTCAGTTATCAGTTAAATAATGGGCACAATTAAAACTTTTAGTATATTTGTTTTTTTTAAACTGGTTATAACTGGATTAAGGGCTACCATTGTTTTCATTTATTATCACATTAAAATTAATACTCAATGAATAATTTTTTGTAGATGTATTATCACGTTTTCATTATCTCCCTCTTTCTTCATGATTATGTGAACTGAGTGATTTTTTTGCGGCCCATGAAAATGAATTAAAAACCCTATATGTGTATATGTATATGCCCAGCCCTGTCCTATGGTATATGAAATGAATAGCTCAGTGGGGCGCTATTGTTAACATTCCAACTAACATATCATTATATTCATTTATAATTTTAAATGTAAAGCTTTTGTACAGATTTTAGTTATCACTCTTGAATTTAATAATGCCATTTGAAACTGACAAAAATACAATAAAAGTCTTTTCAGTGGGAAGGACTATTTTTTTTTACTATTTAAAATACCAACCTGATAATTGATGACTGTATGTAATCTCCTTAATGCCATCACCGCTTATGTCGGAATAGCTGATACGGCATTTGAAAGGACCAGTGTCTTGTGCACTGACAGTGTAGAAATGTAGATTCCCATTTTCAGATGGTTCATAGTGGCTTGGATCCAACTTAGCACCTCTGTCTCTGATCCATAGGTATTCTGGATCCAGCATAACCATGCTGTTCATGATGGAGTATGGGATACACGGAATGTCATACGAACTGCCCTCTAGTGCCAGCACATGATCTAAAATCAGAATTTCAGAATTATGTAACAAGTCTTCTATTAGCATAATATGTGAAGATTATGTCTAGTAATGTTTTATATTATTGGCATCTATTATTTCAAAACATAATCTTATATTTGTAACATGTAAAATATGACTGTTAGTATGTGTTGGGATTTAGTAAAATAATATATGCAGTTAACTTATCCTATAGCCAATAAAATCAGATTGTAAATTGATTTAAACATCATAGCTGTTCATTTCTTTGACCTCAACCAATTGCATTTTTTTTTCTTTACACAGAGGTTCATTAATCTATTACAAGTGTCATAGAAGATCCAAGAGGTAATGAGTAGTTCATTATAAGAAAAAAAAACCTAACAAACTATTAACGATGAGATACAAGTCATTAGGAAGTTCACAAAAGAGTCCCTCTTCCTGCAGGGGTCTAACTAAAATGAGTAGCTTCTTAACAATATACTGAGCTGAGTTCATCGAGAAAAACAAGCAATTAAATATCTCCCGTTGTTATCATTCTTCTTTCATTGTACAAACCAATTAATATAGATGTATACCTCTATCGTATATTGTTCAATATTTATGAAAGCCCTAGGGATTTCTATTGTTGTGAAAAAGCAGGCAATAGATCATCCTAACTCATCATTCATTACCAGCGAAGGGCAAATAAATGTAAAAGGAAAAGAGGGCAAAAGAGAAAGAAAGAAGAGCCAAAAAAAACAAAAAAAAAACAGAGGGAGATTAATTCTGGCAAACAAATTAATTGTAATTTCAAGCCAATGAGCAAATGTCAGTTGTAGGTGGACTTTTACTGATAAGTTTCCACCAGATATATTTATACAATTTTGTAGGAGTTTAAAAGTTGAAGAAAAACAATCTTCTAGTTGAACTTATATGTGGATGACTGTGGGGATCAAGTTCCACCACATTTTATATCCCTCATGATGTAAAATTTTTACTTCATTCATAAATTACATTAATACCTACTGTATATACATTTTGTCCATTCAATTTTTAATTAACTGTATAGTTAATTTTATGTTAAATCACAAAAATATGAGGAAGAACAGCCTCATGGTTGAATTTGGGATATCATGAATAAAAAAAATATTGTATTTTAAAAATTTATAAGTTTGATAGCTGTAGCTTGATGATGCAAACTTCACACGATATTGTAAAGAGCAGTTACTAGCCTTGATAACTTTGTTAATGAAATTTTGTTTGGAAATGAACTAGATAAAGCAAATGGCTGACCAGTGAAGTTCTTAATGAATAGGATATCGTATTGTGTCTAACCAATTCACAACCAACGGTTATTTTGCGTCTTTATGTACAAGATAATTTATTCATTGTTCATCATAGAAATTATCAAAAATTGTCCTTGGCAGTAACAATTTAACAATAAAACTGATAATACTTGAAATTTCAATCAATCACTTATTGAATAGATAAAAAAGAATTGTAATAAAACCTGCATTGGCAAAAAAAAAATGTTTAAAGGGTAAGACATTTTTTTTCTTTTTAAAGTAGTAGAACACTATAATATAAAATATGATTTTTTTTTTTTAAGTTACAAGATATGTTTATGTTAATAGTTTTTCTATCAGAGCAACCTTGTGTACATTTTTTATTTTGTTTTTCTGAAAATTTCTTTTTGATACAGAAGAAGAATAACCAAGTTTTACTGTATGAAGTAGAGTTATGGTTTGGTGGATATAATATACTAATTCTTTATTGATTCCTCATTCAATTTGAAATCGGAAATTCAGGTTGGGCCACTGGGGACACACAGCAGCCGCAGTGCAGTGCCACTCAACTTATCTACAACACATAACGGACACATACGGATACAATTGTCTTTCAACTTATGTAACTCTCAATATAAGGGTTATTTGAGGAGCCCAGTGATCAGACTCCAAAACCCAACACTGGCTGGGTTTGAGCTGGGGTCTTCAGCACAAGAAGCAGGAACAATACATAATAATAATAATAATTGTCAATTTATATAGCTCATAATGTAAAATACCTCTATGCGCTTTACAGCATGGTGTGGTAAAAAATTATTAAAAGTTTCACCTAACAAAAATAATGAGTAACAATAAAGAATAACAATAAAATAAATATATAATGTTAATAAATAAATAATTTGAAAATACAGAATTTTATTTACTTTATTTTTTTTAAATTGTTAAATATTTATTCCCTTAGTCATATTTCCTTACTTACCTTTTACTCTTTTCTCCATTTCTTTTTTTATAAAAAAGCATATTGTACAGTATTTCAAAAGTCTAGAGCATTCACATCAATCTAGGCCTGAGACAGTTGAACTTTCCAGCACATAGCCACGCGAGAAGCATCTTGCTGAGACAATCCGTGATGAACTTTTTTTTTTTAATTGTTAAATATTTATTCCCTTAGTCGTATTTCCTTACTTACATTTAACTCTTTTCTCCATTTCTTTTTTCCCTTTTTCCTTTATTTTCTTTCATACTTACGACCCGTCTCTCTTTTCCTTTACTTCCCTGTAATTTCTTTTGTTACCTTTTCTTCCCCTACCCCCTATTCCTCCTTACATTTTTCTACCTCTTTTCGTGTTTTCCCTTTCATCTACCTTTTTTTACCTTATATTTTCCTTTTCTTTCTCTTCCACACTTACAATACTTCTTATCCAACTGCTCAGCTCAGATAGGATACCTACTTTCTAATCACTAAGTTACTTGTTCAATTATTACCGAAAATTGTTCTTTTAACCCAAAACAAATTTCTCTACCAAATCATCATAATGAGATTTGTTTATGGAAAATCTGAAATGATGAGTTTGGTATTATGGTCAATTTATTCCATTGAAAATATTTTTTTTAAGTAAATGGTTCCCACTCTTAACAAGTTAGTCAACAATTTTAAGATACAAGGTAATTTCATTGTCCAATATGAAACTATGAATACACCTTAGTAAATTCCACTAGTGCCCCAAAGCAATAATCAGAGCTGCTTTTTTTTACCAATTCAAAAGTCAGCAGACTGGCCAATGGGTCTCACTGCTGCTTTACTGAACTATACACAAATTAAGTCAAGAATGCTAGCCCTACATAATATTTAACCCATCTTCAAATTATAATGATGCAAAAAGGAATTGAGTCACAGTTGAAGCATTTAAAACAAGTTAGGCAAAAATACTGTCCATTATAATAATTAGAAAGGAAAAATAACTAGGCCACTATAAGAAACCAATTTGCTCTTTAAGTCTTTAATTGCCACACAGTACATAAAAGAAAATTTGACAGATGTTAGTAAAGGAATTTAATTTTTATTTCTCACTTTTACTATAAACTTTGGTCTTGTTCTGTAATATATCATTTAATTCTCAAGACTACTTCATTGAAGGTAATCTTATGAAAGATTAAATGAAAAAAAAATACTACAAATAAAGCATTTCAGATTTTCAGTATCAAAGATTATATAAACATTGTTTTTATAATTTGATTAAAATTTTTTTAAATACAGTTAGCCTTCCAATTCGAGACAATCTTTGGGCATAATTATAGTCTTAATAAGCTACAAAATGACTTCATCCATTACACTGAAAAGCGAGAAAAATTTTAAGGTTAGGGTCAAACCAGCTTCACCATTCAACACCTTAGAATTGCTAAAATCGTCAGAACAATATTAAGCTCTAAAAAATAAATTTTTTGTTTGCCCTTCTTTTTTTAAAATGATAAAAAGGGGCGGATGGAAAAAGTTTTTTTTTTTTTTCTTTTTAAGATACTCATCATATGGAATAAAAATAACCCACAGAGGCCTAGAATGGCAATATCTTACATCAGACAACAACTTTAAAGCTAAAAAAAATAAACTTTTTTTAAAGTTTTTTTGTTTTTCCGCCCCTATTTATTTTCAGTGAGTTAGGGGCGGGTGAAGAAGGGCAACAAACAATTTTTTTTTGGCCTAACCAGAAACTTAAATATTCGCCAAACTAATGTCAAAACAAATAAGGTTTTATAAACTATCAAAATTTACATAAAATAATAACAACCAAAATATTAATATAAGAATAATGGCAATTTTCTTGAGATGAAAGTTCTTCTGGTGCCAGTAGTATTGAATATAAATTTTTTTAAACCTGAAAACACCTAGTTGATGAAACCAGAATATAAATTGAGAAATCATTACATATAATTGTAACCACAATACTACCAATAATCACAGGAAAAAGTAAGATATCTTGGCAAATAGTGCAAAATGCAAACAGAAATTTAGACAATAGAATTTATTAATCACTTAATAATTTTCTTGCTATTATCTACAGATCATTGGTCATGTTAATGTTCATTTTGTTTGAGCTTACACCGATTATGAAACTGAAATTTAGCAATTATATTTTGTGCATCATTGGTCTAAATGTATCGTGACAGCAGTCGTTCTTAAGTATGTGTTATGCCCTACTTTATTGCGGTTAAGTGTTTTAGAAACCAGCTCTCAAAGATTGTATATACAATACTATCATTAATATTATCACAAAGTGTATTCTGTACTGTTCATATATATCTTAGTTATATTTTATTAGTCAAAATTCATAGATATATAAATGTAATTATACAAAAATAACTATATGCTTTTCTCAGGAAGATTCCGCATCATGTTTGAATACTTTTCAATTATTTGCAGATTACCTTCTCAGAAAAGGTCTTGAGTCTCGTTTTATAAACTTTACGTTAATAAAGTTTACAGTAGTTTCAAAATAACCGGGTAATTAATAAGACTTATAAAAAAAAAGCATATTGTACAGTATTGCAAAAGTCTAGAGCATTCACATCAATCTAGGCCTGGCACGGTTGAACGTTCCAGCACAATAGCCACGCGAGAAGCATCTTGCTGAGACAATCGATGATGAACATTCCGGTGATAGCAACGTCCAAATCATGATTGCTATTGGACAGATTTTGATGTCAAATTGCAACTGTTCTAGCCCTAGGGACTTTCTTTTATACCCTCACACTAACGTGTTAAGAAATTATGCAGTCTGTTCATATTGACAATGACAACAGACCAAAAAAAACCCCAAAAACAACACGAAAACTGGATAAGTCGCTTGCCATTAGCAGTAGCATTTTCATTAGTACGGTATGTAAACACAACAAAAGCATTAACATCAGAGGATCTGTCTTAACTGTCAAATGAGCAACCACCAAACATCCATCAAAAAATGCGCTCCAAATGAATAATGCAAATCAGAAATATCAAAGAATCTTCTCCGTGGTTTGAGTGTGTCTTTTTTTTTGTTCCCAATACAAATTAACCGTATGTTTTAAGGTATATAGCCTTGTGTATACATTAGCACAATCAGTCTAATGGGACAAATTAGTATGAATATTTTTCTAACAAATAAATACTAACAGCTTAAATAGATAAACTATGGATTTCTTTGCAGTCCATCCATCAATTACTTAAAAACTGCAAAGTTAGTGTCGGTGAAGTCAGACTTCTTTAATACTGATAAAGGGATTGCACTCTATTATACTGCATTTATGCTACTGTGCACCCATAATTAATACTATTTAAAGTTCTCGGACATGAGACTTAACTTGAATGGAGACAAATATAGAAAAAAATAGTTTAGCAGCATCTGTTATTTGAAAGTAGCAAGGGAATTATAGGTAAAGTTATGTCCATTTAAGTTAAAAATTACAGCTCAATGCTCGTAATTTATAAAAAGAAATAAAGATTTCATTTGTGTTTGTGTACTAAAAACAAATTGAATAAAAATCAATTTAAATTCTTTAATATGTATATAACTGAAAATAAAAATGAGAAAATATTTTCCTACCAAGTAACAAATGCATAAATAATATTACTTTTCTATATTCTTAGTATAGAACATTTAACATTTATTTGCCGATAGATAATTTAATTTCAAATTAAAAAAACAGCAAACAACAGACTTGTTTACATACTATATTCATCTCATCAGTATGAAGAACTGGGCATTTAAAAACGTATGGAATGGAATGGATGTTTTCAAGGATAGCCCACAAAATTCTAGAAGACGGCTATCTCCAGTGGGGGTCCTTCTGGGAGTGATTGGGCAGTACACCGAGAAACCATCTCCTACTCTTTTCCAAAGAGCGTACTGCGTTCTTTAACATGCACATGGGCCATATACTGTATGCACACGGGACCAACGGCTTAAACGTATCATCCGAAAGATGAGAGGCAGCAATGGGAATTGAACCGGGGACTTAAAGATCTCCATCAAAAACAACCCTCTCCCTTAAAAAAAAACATGGTGTAAAACACATCATCTGGCTTTGGATTTCCATATCCCACATATTTACTTAATATAATGTTTATCAAATATTAAATAGTTTAAAGGCTTAATTCATCTCAGGATATATGATGGGTTAATTCTTACCAACTGTTAGATCATGATGAGCAGTATTGTATGGTTGAAAGTTTATTTGGTCTATGCGACATATTTTATAAACCAACTTAAGGTAAATGTAGGTAATTAACATATAACTGCAACGTTACAGTGGTAAACTGGATGCGGTGTGGTCAGTGAGTATCAGCAAAGAGTACAAATAAAACAAGAGAGACAACTACGCTCATTGAGAGCGTAAAAAACGATACGTTATACGCAGCTAGTGTAGGACGCCAACTAACGCTTGTGTACACTTTTAATTACCCAGTACTCCACCAGGCACGTCGGTTTGTCTGTTTATCTGTTCTTCACAAGATACAGTACTTTTGTTTTCTACTTTCTGAGTTCATAGCGGGCGTTATTCTATCGCGCTGCACTGGGTAATAAAGAGTGTGGAGTGCAGTGGATGTCCGACGCTCTCCTGTTTTATACTCTTTGGTATCAGTAGTGTAGGGTTGTTACATCTTCCACGACTGGGGCTGAAGTGAATCAGAGTACAGGGGAACTCCTGCTTTTTCCGAACAATATACTGGGGTACTTAAAACACAGGCAAGGCAATCAAACGAGCCAGATGTGTATGCTGGCCCTCTGGTCTTTAGTCCTTATACAAGACAAATTGTTCTACCAATCCAACCATAAACAAGGAGGGTCTCAAACCAGCATTGATGATATTGCTATATTGTGGCACCTATTGCCTTTCAGCTTGACCACTCAACTCGCTACGTAATGGAGATTTGCAAATACAACACTTTATAATTACACAATTAACGTAAAACCTTAAATGGTACTTTTGCAAACTGAAGAGGGGGCTTCAATTCGAGCTGGGCTTCTTCTCGAGATTAAGCCCATTTGGCTTCCATTCGAGGTTTTACAGTATACGTATAATAATTTTAATAATAAATTTTTAAAAAATTGTATTTGATCTGGATATTTTTCTCATTAGATGCAAAAACAGGAGTGAAAGCAAAGCAAAAGGATCTTACCGCCTTTGTGCAATTGTTGTTGGGTTAGTCCCATAGATGCCCGACCAGGAAAATCAATTGATGTGTTGAAGTTTTCATATTCCATAAAAGGAAATACTTCTGCTAAGTCAGCAAAATTGGCTTTCTCTGAACTCTGACCTTGGAGGACCAATGGAGGGGCTGTGACAGTTTCTTCAAAGTTTGAAACATCTTTGCTGTATTCTGAAGAACCTATATTTATCATTTTAAACAAATTTAAGTTTAATGAAACAGTAAAATAGGTCGGGCTTATTTTCTAATTTAAAGGTGTATTGCATCCTGAAAATGACAAAAAATCATTAAAAAATACTTTGGAAATTAACTTGAGCATAGAAATTACTGAAAATTGAAAAAAATGTGTACCCTGATTTTCATACTGGATAATGATAATGAAAATAATAAAAAAATTCCATTGAATGGAATGAGCGAGTTAATGATTTTTATGAATTTTTTTTTGTGTTTTGCATGGGACAATACATCTTCATCTAAAAAATTAGAAAAGAAGATGTTTATGAAAAAAAAAAATAATTAAAATTTTCAAATATTATTTGTGGGTTTTTGTTTGATCAGTTTCTGTTGGGCAATTGAAAAGAACATTTCTCAAAGAATGAATACAGACTGAATGCTTAATTAATTGATTGATGAATGATTGATTTGGACAATACAGTTTCTGGTGCTACCCTCACAAGTTATTTTTTCATGCTATATATTACAATGGATTAATTTTATGAGATTTCAATAAAATAATAAAACCAGTTGAATAGACCATTATGATGAAAAATTATATCAACAGCATCAAGAAATAAAAAATAACAGACACTCAAAAAAAAAAAAAAAAAAAAAAAAAAAATCATTTTTAACAACATTAACTTTATTTTATACAAAAAAAGTAACTACAAAAAGACAGAAAACAAGAAAATAAAGCATAAGGCAAATATTCATTTGAATGAATGCATATAAAAAAAAAAACAACATTGAACATTTAAGGAATTTTAGAGAAGCATTTTCAAAACCACATTTCTTTCTGGTATTGTATTAATTCTATCGTACCTGTACAATCACTTAGCGGACTAGATATTGCCTGATGGAAACAGGTACAGCCAAAACCGCCATCCCTGTTGATGCACACGGCATGTTCGTGACAAGGACTCTCAGGTTGCGCACATTCATTAATGTCTACTTGGACGAAGAAATAAAAATAACCGAAGGTTAATCCAAGGTGGAAAACTACAAAATAAAAACTGTCTACTTGAATACAAGGCGTATTATTATTTTCCTTATCGTTCAATTGTTGTCTTTGTACATTTAACCTCCAACCGGACTCTCATCATTCTTATATTTTTTTTTATCTTACAAACTTCCGATACAAGAGGGCTGTTCAAAAGTTTATCTGATCAAGAAATAAACTAGAAACACCAATCATTCTTCGCTAAAATAGATTGATAACGTGGATATAAAAAGGTGAATTAGGTAACTGATCAAAGTTATCATCAGCATCCTACAAAGGTTGTGTCATTTATATCTGAAAATAACTGTCTGAATAATAAGAGTAGTCTGTGGAATTATAATAGAAAAAAAGGCAAAACTTTAAAGACTGTGTATACTACATTTACTGAGAAACACCATTCAGGTGCATGAAAGTTATTTGTGTCTTAAAAAATGTATACACTATACTGTTATGTCTTTCTGAATAAGTCTTTTGCTAGTGGAAACAGGAATAGACAGCACCCATGAAAAGCAATTTATCATAGTACTTTCAATCTCCACTCTGAACAGTAAAGTATTAACAAGCAAGCCAAGACAAAAAGATTTCTCTACCCTTCATAAGAGATGTTAAGACTATACTCACTGTAGTCAAATCTATAAACAACCTTCAAAAGTCTCATTAAAATATTGAATTTCTCAATAGGATTAAATTATTTATCAACATGACAAAATATTGTACCAATTTACTTTTTGATAGTTTACAGACTTTTAATATAAAAATCCTTAAGTTGATTAAGATATTATTATTATATATTTTAAAAATTTGTATTAACTACTTTAAATCATGATCAGATATATTTTATTATTTCCGTTTAGTTAATTTTGTATAAATGAAGGATCCTACAGCAAGACAACTTTTTTACCTTTTTTAATATGCTTAGCATCTTTGTTTCAATTTTTTGCATTCCATATTGTTATTTCTAATTACTGTGTGTAACTTAATTTGTAAGTATTGATTTGGTAATTAGCCAAAAAAAACCAAACTAGAGCAGTGTATATTTCTTCCCTGTAGCTGAATACTGAACAATACACACAGTTGGTTCATGGGAGAAACAGGCGTTTCATATATATTCTTAAATGCTTGAGAGGTAAGTTTTGAGATCTTAACCTTTAACCTTTAACTTTGATATTTCAAACCCAAAATTTGATCACCTCTTCCTTAAACCCACACTTCCACTACCACTTCCACAAATATTATGATGATCCATTCATTAGTTATTGGTAATGAACAGACAAACAACGGTGATTACATAACCTCCACGGCAGAGGTAGAAGTTTGTTCTAATGTTAAATAAAGATACCAGTATACATAAAAGTTAAGAATTCAAATACTAAATTTTATTGTTCAAGATTTTTATCTCATGAAAGACAAACTTTGGATATTCTTTAGTAAAAAAGAGAACAAAAAAAGTTGCTGAAAACTTTACCTATACATCTCATTCCATCCCCTTCGTAACCTCTCTTACAATCACATCGATAATCGCCAGGCTCATTGTGACAAATGGCGTTACTGTCACAGTAGTTAGTCACCTCACATTCGTTAACATCTAAGGTGAAAGAAAGATCAGATTGAGAAATTAATCATAGCCGACCAGGTAGGTCATTCGCTACATGTTGCAACAAGAGCCTCAAGACACAATCTAATTAAACACAAATTTGCTAAATAATTACACAGCATCAATCATAGATTACAAAGAAATCATTAAGCTCTGAGAGAAAAAAAAACTTTTTACAAGGTTATAATTTATCTGAAAACACCTGATGACCTTTATTATTTCTACGCAATTTAAACTTAATTATTATGGATGAAATTTTTTCAATAGAAAAAAAATGTCCTTTTTGGTATCTTTTTCAAGGTAGTGCATAACAAAAGACAAGTATGTCCATAATGGAAAAATATAATGCAAGGAAATACACCTGCCTTGCTTCATACTCTGTTGGTAGGGAGACTGAATGAAATTCAGAGGGTTTCACGTTTGAATACTGCTGGGATAATACAGGTTTTTTTATATTACTGATGGAAGAGTTTCTCCATAACAAACTTAATATCATTCATTTTAGTCAAACTTGACATTTTAAAGGTAAATTTCAATTCTTTAACCTCAGGTTATTCTATTTTAAAGTTTTATGCTTAGAGTTTTTATGATAAATGTTATTAATGTGTGGTAGTTCATGTATTAAGGCTTAGGGGAAAAAAGACTGACAAGAAAGAATTGTTCTTTATGTTTGTTGGATCTTTTGGCAATGGAAGTCATAACATACAAGATATATTATTGTAAATTTTCACAGCCACTGGACCACTTTTGTGATATTAGTGTCTGAATTATGGGAATAAGAACTTTCTTTAATTTCTGTCCATTTTTGGGCTTTTAATTTGTTTGTTTTGTTTTCTTTCTCTTGTTTAATTATTTTTAAACTATTATAATATTGCTGTCTTCAGAACTCTGTATTTTGAAGATGTGTCGCATTTGCTTACACTTGTTGATATGTCCTTATACCGGACCTTTTAAAATTTGCTTTATAATTGGCATTTTTCCAATGTAAATTCAACATAAGGTCTCATCAATATTAATCTTAAAAGTCCACAATATTATTATCATTATTATTCTGTGATTTATTTTAGTATGAAAAGAGATGCACTAACCAATGCATTCAGGTTTAAGTGCACTCCAGATACCCGTCTCTAGGCATTGTAGTCTGTGTGATCCTTCAAGTCGGTAACCCTTGTAACAACGGAACCGAACAAAAGACTTAAAGGAATGCGAAAGACCGACAATCTGACCATTTGTGAAGTCACCCAATAGAGGACAGTCGATTCCTGTGCACTCAATACCATCTCCATGAAATCCCTCTAAGCATGTACAAAAGTAGGAGCCAGCTGTGTTCGTGCATAGTGCACTCTTGTGGCAGTGATTGTCTATGAGGCACTCATCAACATCTGTCAATATAAATACATAAGATACGTTTAAAATTGTAAATATCAAAGTTATCAAAAGTATGAAACAAAACCTTTTTAAATAACTAAATGACCACAATAACAACAATAACAATATTAATGATAGTTATAGTGATAAACCCATTTATAAGTCAGTCATGACAACCTCATTTTCATTCGCATGTAATTTTCCTATTCCTGAGCAGGCACTAATTTGATATAGTGCCTCCTGCTTTTTGCATCTCGTGCAAAAATCTCAAAGCTGGGGTTTTTTTTAAAATTATAATAGCATAAATATATATATATATCCGAAACCTTGGTGTAAAGTTAGACAATTCTTTGGGCATGAAGGAACATGTGAACTCCATTTGTCAGTCTTCTCTTAGGGCATTACGTCAAATAAGCTCAATTAGGAAATATCTAGATCAAGCAACAACAACAAAACTTATTCATGCCTTTGTTACCTCACGTTTAGACTATTGTAACAGTCTCTTGTATGGTCTTCCAAAATCTGAAATTAACAAGCTCCAACGCATACAGAACACGGCTGCAATACTGGTTACAAAAACCAGACGCCATGAGCACATAACCCCAATTCTTCATTCACTCCACTGGCTGCCCGTTCATCAACGGATCATTTTCAAGATTCTTTTTGATTACATATAAGTCCAGGCATAACAACGTACCACATTACATCACATGCTTAATACAAGATCACACCACCAAGCGAACATTACGTTCTAGCACTAAGGGCTTCTTCATACCCCTAAATCATTTACACAGTCATATGGCAATTGTGCCTTTTCATTTGCTTCTCCAACCAACTGGAATAACATCCATTACACATCAAACAACTTCCATCATTACATTTAAATCTTTTCTCAAAAGCCATTTATTTAACTGACTATGTTATGGTTTATAGAATGGCCCCGAAACTGCTAAATACCGGGATGGTGTCCGGCGGGGGATAGTTTAACTAATTGTAGTTAAGAGTAATATACTGTATTTAAGAGTAGTTAAACCTAGCTTAAGGTAGTTAGGGACGTCCTGGGTACGACATTAAACTCCATCCGGTCGAAGCGTCGGCGACTAAACTGACAACCCTCTCAAATATGTCTAAGTGCCTGCTGGGGGGGGGGGGTGTTTATGGTCACCCAGCAGCAAGAAAAACCAATAGCTGAACAAAGGGCGGATGAGCTCCTCGGAGTCAACGGCCAACCATTAATTAGTTTAAGGAATAGGAGTAGTTTAGTCTCGTTGTTATTATAGCTATTATGATTATTTTTATTTTATTTTATTGTTATTATTTTATTGTTATTTGCTTTTTCTCAGTTGCCCTATATTATTTCTCTGTAAAGCGCATAGGGGCAATGTGCAATATGCGCTATATAAATATAACATTATTATTATATATAACAAACAGGGTAACTGACTTATAAAGCAATTATTGTCAAGTTATTTTGGAAAATAGAAGCCTTAGAAGCCCTGCAGGTTTCAAGCAAGCTTTTCTAGGAAATAATAGCTCCTTCGGCCTCAATCTTCTAAGGGTCATCAGAACTTGACTATATTTTCGTAATATGCGTATGATATGACATCATTCATGGCCCATATACTGTATGGGCCAAGCACAGCTATTTGTCAAATAAAACCTAGAAGCATGGACAGAGCTCCATAAGTATATGTTCGCAGTTAACAATCAACAACCTCTGACATTTAAACATCATTATTATCTTAACACACTAGGATCAATAATTAAGAGCTGATAAATGATATGGTCGTAATATCACGTATTCTGCCAATGGCGGAGTAAACATTCAATCATAATTATCATCATCTTTATATGGACATCAGATAATCACTCTATTTTTGCTTATGCTACCTTTCAGTGTAAACAAGTTAGATTACTCCTGGCTGTGGTTTTTTATACTTGTACATTCTTATATTCTATCCACACTATGCAGTTTTGCGTTGCAAATACCAATGATTTTTCCATTATGTAAGTGGGAAGTGACCCCATCATGCCCATATATGTGTGTGACATGACTTATCATGCCCACATAAGAATGTGATATGACCTTATCATGCCCATATATGGGTGTGATATGACTCATCATGCCCATATTAGGGTGATATGACATCATGCCCAAACATGGGCATGAGAAATTAACTTATTACACCTATATGTAGCCAATCACAGATATTTGGCTGGCACAGAAAATGTCATAGTATAAACAGACCTTAAAAAAAGTTAGCATTTATATCCAAGTGAGATCAAGTGCTGCCTACATGCTTCATACCAACATGATGGGAAGATGAAATCCAACAGCCATACATGGATGAATTATTGAAATGCAAGTCACAAAAGATTGATTATGAGACACTTTAACTGATAAAGTCTTGTGTGAACATCTTGTAGAAACATTTACCTTTACAAGTAGCTCCATCTGCCTGGTATCCAGTGTGACACACACACTTGTATGAGCCAGGTAGATTCTCACATTCTGACATCTCCACTACACATGTATGACTATTCTCTAAGCATTCATCCACGTCTAAAAGAAAAAAAACATATTTTATATAACAAAATTAAAATAAAATTATTACCTGATAACATGAGACAAAATCCTACATGGGACCCAAAGCTAGAAAAAAGTTTTGCAAGCCTACTTATCTATATCGCCTCACTGGAAGGCACAACCAAGCAAAATTAACACAGGTCCATGTATCCATGTAAGAAAAACGGACATCGCAGAGGCCTGAGCACTCCTCAGATATTTAGCATGTGCATGCTTAAGAAACACAGTTTATATTTCAATGTGGCCATGCAGGTATATTCACTGTGTATGTGCCAGTAGTTGTGTAAAGTAAAATTCATTTGCGTGAAGACAAAAGTAATGTTGGTATCTAGGGCAGCACATGTAATATTTAGCAAGGGCCCATTTTCTTACCTTCCTTGTCATGGAATGTCCTTGAGGCAACCTGATAGCCATCTGCATCATAACCATAATAAATCAGGAATCCAATATCTCTAGGCTTCAAGCTTTCCACACGGTATTCGTAGGTCAGTCTTGGTGGTGCTACAATGGTGAAGTTACCTGTTGCTTCATTTACCCATTTCGCAGTCCAGGTGTTATCAGGGAAAACCCCATAGTAGTAAACAGAAAGCTCAAGTGGAGTACCTGGTATCTGAGGGCCGAGGTCTACAAGATAAAAAATATTAAATACATTTGATAAAATACAATCTAGCATAAATAACTAATAATAGATCTACAAAATCTTATGTAAACTATGACAACCCTTAATTAGAAAATACAAGTGAGACTGATAATTCGCCTAAAGATAGTACTTAGGCAGCACCTCAGCAATAAAAACTGGCAATTGAAAGGTTGAAAGGCAGTTGGGGGGGGGGGGAACAATTGATAGGAACAGAGCTGGCACCAGAGGACATTGTTCACCCAATGCAATTAAAAAATGGATGCTAGCTTACTGTACATAGCCTGACGATGTCATGTTGATAAAATCGACGAAAGCATGCACTTGCACGGCCTTGATGAAAAACACCCTTGGGTGATCAAGCTTTTCCGTGTTTAAATAAAGTAATTATTATTATTATTATTACTGATATTTCTACAATTTTTCTGTCTTTCATTGTCCACTATATAAGTTCCGAGGAGTTTTAGTATCATATTAAGGACCCTTGTTCTAATTTCTGTAGTGTGGCACTTAACACTTTGCAAAAAAAGCAAATTATTTGACGTCAAATACTCGATTCACTAGACAAAAATGTTACATGGGCCACATTGTACGAAAATTTACCAAGCATCCTCAGCAATATTACATCTGTGTGAAGGTGCATACAAATAAGATTTACAGATGCATTAAGTACTATCAATGTAAGAAATACAGTTATCACAAAAGCCCCTAATACTCTTGTGATATTCAGTGTAGATCTGTGCTTATGGTCTCAAGTTGGAGCTTGTTATTGGCTATGTATTTTTAGCATGTGCTCTTCGTAACATTATTTTTGTTTTGTAGGAATCAAGTACATGAAAAAAACTGAGAAAAGATGACAGAAAAATTCCACCTTCAAACACCTACCAATGGAATGATGCACCAACTTAAACATGAATGACGGTGGAGGAATGTGACCATTGCGCACCTCAACCACAAAATAATTCTCAGAAAAATCGCTTTCCCAACACTTGATTCCCTTCCTGGTTCCATTATCAGACACCATAAAGTTAGTAGGTTCTACTTTATACTGGAAAAAAAATAACTTTCAAGTTTACTTTTGAATGAATGCTAAAGATTTCTTTTCAACCACAACCCAGAAAACCATGGGTGTAGTTACATTCTAGAGAATAAAATTAATTTCAACATAGAATTTAAATGGGACAATATTCACCAACCATGTCAATAATGTTCCATTAGTAAAATAGATCTAGAACCAAAAAATATTGTTATGGTACCCAAGAAGTAACGATGGGAAATCAGGGACATACAGTTGGTCAGACAGGAATTTACATTTTTTTAATTACAGGCCTAGCAAAATTCCAGGGTTTATTGCTAATTATCACCCCACCCTGTACATTTTTGCTAATACTGGGGAAAAATTAAAGCCAACCTACATTTTTGGTAGCCCAGGATTGGGCAAACTAATATTTTACCTATTCTTCTCTACAAAAAGTGCTGGGATAGGTGGTATTATGGTTTTACCTCAATGGCAGTAGGACCATTTTTATTCAATTTGGCCCAGTGTTTACTCCATACCACATCCTTCTGTTGATACATTCCACTGATGTCTACAGCAAATGTAACATCACAATTACGCATCTGGTCAGTTTCGATGATACACAGCTTGCTCTTCGCTAAAACACTGGTGCATATGCCAGGATCTCGCAAGGTCACATGGACAACAGTAGCTAAGGATGGATGAAAATGATTAAGGGAAAGATATAGAGTGTTTTCGTGATCCTTTAGTAAGTTTGCAGATTCTCTTTTACATGGTTATTACACCTTCAGTGAAATTAAATTTCATGGTTTCTTGTTTATTGTTTTAAATTTTCATGACCTTTTGTACTTAAATTGTGGACAAATAAATTTAACTTTACATTATATAAATGACCAGGCCAAGAAAATTAAGAAAACAACTTCAATGCACAAGATTCTATCACTTTAACACTGAATTGTATTAATACATTATGATACAACTCACCAACACAGTGTTTTCCATCCCCTTCAAATCCAGCGTGGCATTTACATGAGTAGGAGCCGTGAGAATTGATGCAATCCGCACGTGGGCTGCAATCATTTAAATCATCACATTCGTTGATATCTAATGACAAGAAAGTTACAATTTCTATATTTATATAGCAGAAAAAAAGAAAATATGCCAACATTTTGTAATTTGGTGGTTCTACCAAGTGTAAGCACTCAAAGTGTAGGCATTAAACAATAGTTGGCCCTTGTGTCGCAATATACATAATAAAACTAAACATCAGGTAGCATCACATTACCCGCTGTTACTTGGGTATCGGATTTAATACTCACTAAAGCCCCTCTCCCACTAGGGGATTTTTCAGCATACGAGTTACAAGAGAATGCCGAGTTGCTAACTCGGCAAACTTGGCAAAAACTCGTAGGACGATTCGGAAAGCTCGGAGAGGACTCTTACCTACTCGTAGCAGCTCTGAACTCGTGGCGCTAATTTTGAACAAATTATCGCCACGAGTAGATAACTCGTAGTAAACTCGAAGAACTCGTAGGTAGCTCGTAGAGTACTCGGGGTACTCCTACCTAGCTCGTACACTACTCCGGATACTCGTCAGCGGTTTTGTCATCTACGAGTTTGATGCGAGCACCCAAAAACGAGTATGAGTAAGTACGAGCGCACCGAGTTGGCTCGTACCTAACTCGTATCTAATTCGGTACAAACTTAAGTAGTTAACTCGGTGCTCTGCTCGGCATAATTCGTACATAACTCGTAACCAACTCCATAAAGTCGTACCTCACTCGTAGCTAACAGGTAATAAGCTCGTATAGGTCCTTTCCAAAGATCACAAGTTTTAACTCGTAGAAATCGTACGACTCTTAAGTGAAATAAACCTAGGTGGGAGAGGGGCTTAAGCGCAACTTCAATGATCTAGCGGTTATGACACATAGGATAGTTATCTAGAAGTCGTGAGTTCGATTCTACTCGAATCACTTGCAAATTTCTTTTTTTATTCAGTACAAAAACATTTCAGGGAGGGAAAAAACATCAATCCTATGAAACTAAATTAAATAATCAAGTGGACAACACTGACACGCAGTACCTTCGGAACAGGTATCTCCTTGATAACCATGGTAACAAAGGCAGCGGAAGCCAGAATCTGTTGCATCATCATCCACGCATTTACCATTCTCACAAGGATATGCATCACAAGATGTTACCTCTATTAACAAAAAATAACAACAAAGTTGTATTATTCAAAATGATATATAATTCAGGAAAAATATCAGTTTCAAAGGCAGACATTTTGGGATGTTTTATGTATTGTGGGAACGGCTGTCCCAACGGTTGAGGTCCGGGCTCTCTAACCTTAGTTTGGAAGTCAAGTCTTCGCTGTGAATTTCTCTTGTGTCTTTGAACAAGGCACTTTGCATACGTATCTTTTCAACCAAGGGTATTATAATGGGTGGTACCTGGTAGGATGTTGTGGCATTGACCGTATTAGACTGCACACAATGCAGTATGACTACATACTGTATGCAACGTTGCACTTTTTGCTGATTAGCAAATTTATAGAGCCAATGATCAGTGGTAATAGAGTGCATTGATACGTTCTTCAATTGAATAAAGCACCTTTTAAAAGCTGAACATTATTAATTATTAACTTTAAGTCCATAAAAAAAATAATCTTAAACTAAAGCCCCATACTAAACATTAAAAAGTATGATATATTTATTATCAACCACATGCAAAGTAGGAAACTCAACACTAACAGGATGGACAATTAATTATAGAATGTATATGGAGTAACATATCCTGCCGAATGACAGTGGGCTTGCTGCTTTCACTACACCCAATCTTGTGGATACATTTCAATATATTTATATTAACTTTATAAAAATTCAATTAAATGTTGTAGTGTTTTTACAGGTTTTCTTCAACATGTCTAGTAGATATATTTCGAAAACTTGTATGATTTTTTTTTTAATGATGTCACTGACACCACAAAGGAACACAAACTTCAATCGTCTGATTGGCAAGTTGAGTGATGATGGACAATAATAAATTCATAAATTAAATTAACTGACAGAAAAAAAAGATCTCAATACATTAGTCATATTCACTATGACAATAGAATATCATATATTGATGCAAATTAATTAAATAATTGATTTAAAATAATGTATTGATACTTAATCTTTTTTAATTGATTTGGAGGTTAAACGACAATAGTAACCTTCAGTATGTTGCTGATAACAGATGCTGATAATCCAATGCAGGATGATTTACAATAATCAACCCTTTAAGATACTGTAGACAATATATAAACTTTTGATTTGATATTGTAAATATCATAAGAGGATTGTATCAACAATTAGTCCTAAATATTTGGTGGAATGCCACTAGATTACCTTCAAATTTGTGTTCTCTGAATAAATATAGAAAGCAATTATTGTATATGAGAAATAAAAGAATATTACCTACCCACTTCACAATTATGCCCTCTGTATTTGTCGGTGCAGTGACATTGGTAACTATAAGCTGAGTGTTGTGTACCATTCAGCTTGAACTTATGCTGTCGCTGTCGACAAGTACCTCCATGCTTACAGGGATAGCTAAGACAAGGATAGTCTAATAAAAAGAAATGACATCATCATTAAAGTCAATACACTTTTAAAACTTACCCTCACAAATTTTGTTTATGATATAAACTACAAATTTTAAACTGGAATTTTTGAAATATATTTTCAATCAAATTGTAATCTAATTGTAAATAAATTATATTTCATAATATGAAATATGCTTCTGTATTCAAAGTTTTCAGTACTGATATGTCTTATGTATATATTTTTAAATATATATTTTGTAATATATTTTCTTACTTTCAACCACTTCATTCTGTTGAACAGCATTTTAAATACAGTGTGTCTATCCATACTTAGGAATGATTAATGTAAAGATGTTTCCTTGTTTTGAAACTAGGCACAGTGAAATAGCTTGTTATATTCTTTTTATATTTGATATGTATTTTTGTTCATTTACGTTCTATTCATTTAGCAAAACAAACAAATGGGTGCTATAGTATTGTTAGTGGCTTTCATTAATAACAACAATTTGACAATATAGAATCAATCTAATAAATCAGACCTCTAAAATCAATGTCATCTTTTATCTGGTCAAGATGCTTCTGTATTTTCTGATGGTGAGAATCATCATCTGTCTCTGGTTCTTCATTCTCTGATATGACTGCTGTATGCTGAGAGCTTTCAGCCAAGGCTGACTTATATCCTAAGTGAAATGTGGAGAAAGCACAGAAAGATTATAATGTGCGTATACTATTACAGTTGTTTATTGGTTTGACCAGGCCCTACTGTAGTTATCAGGTTATAAGCCATAGCTTTGTAAATGGATATTCAGATACATTTTCAACAAATAATGTATGTATCAATTCAAGCACTATCATCATTAAATGATAATTACCATCAACAATTATTAACAGTAGTTTCATTCAATCAATCAACCAATCAATCAATCAATCATTCAGTCATTCAATCAATCAATCGAACACCATGTACATGTAGAAATGGCTGGCTGAACTTGCGGCAGTAAGGCATTCTAAGGAACATCTCTCCTCATTTGTCATAGTGCCTTAATATTATATTTTCATTACCTTCGACAGTGACAAAGAATTTCTTTGAGGAAACCACATCGGATCCGTTGAAATACTGACAGGTGAATACCTGTGGCATATCCACTGGTGTAATGATTGATAGCCGTCCAGTATACTTATCAACCTCTCTGTTCCCTTCAAGCCAATGGAGTTGTGATCGGAAAACAGGGGCTATATCAAAGGGGCAGGTAAGTTTAAGACTGTCACCCATTTCAACAGTATGATTGTATTCAACTTCTTTTAATTCTGGTCTGTCCAAACCTATAAAAAAAATGGTAAAATCAATCATAATGTGGATATAAAAAAAATAAAAATAAAGAGTAATAAATATTTAAATAAAACAATTTGATAAATAAAAAGAAAATACATTTCTTTAATTGGCCTGAAAACACACTTCCTTGTTACAATACGAAGCCAGAGAGGTGAACAGGGCTCTGGGGAATGGAGCCGAAATATCCTAAGTAGTGCAGTGGGTGAGTAATGAAATTTGTTTATATACTTATTAATATTACCACTACGACTGACACTAAATCAATAACTATGATAGGGTTGGAATGGCTAAGAATAAACAATGTAAAACAATTTTGATAATGACCCTAAAAAGGCTTAACCAACTATGTAACAACATGAATGTATTGTCACATTTCTTTAAAGTAAGTAAAATAACATTAAATATTAAATAAGCAAAATTATTAACAATAATACTAAAGATGAACTGTCGGTCATCAGAATACTAAATTTCATATTTGAATTGCTTAATTTGTATATTTAAGTTGGTAACTTACAAATAAAAAATTGAATAAATATTAATAAGGTAAAATTATATTGATCAGTGTGAAAGCAATCAAACTTATTATAGTTATAAAGGTATGCAATAGTACATCAGGACTCTTTCCCCATTTGATGTAGTGTTGAATGTCTATGTCTTAATGTGAATTGAAGTTTAATTACAGGAAGCCATGTACTAATAGGTCTTAATTTAAACTGCTTCTTCCTTTAATAAATCAATGGCAATGCTACCTTGAACTTCACTGACAAGGAAGACAAGGAAGCTTCCAGGTAAAAGATTTGTTATCAATCACACAAAAGAAGATTTACAAAAATAATTTTAGATTTAAAGACTTCAAAACTAAGTTAAGAGCAATAAGACTATGAACTTTTATTTTTAAATTCATAATCAGCATTGCAAATCCTAAAAATAAATGTTAAAGTTAAATTGATAGTTCTATTAATGGAATGTGAATCAAATCAAAATTTATTGGGTCCTTGGTTTTAAAAAAAAAAAGTGTTTGTTCATTCTGGGACGATATCAAATGTGTTAATGAAGCCAAATCAAGGTTTTTGGTTTAATATGATTTCCCGGGTGATAGTTGAAATCAGAGCAAACTTCCTTCAGAATCTTCCTATCACAAGGCTGTGCCCTGTGGGAATGGATCTAGAGCAACTGGGAGAGGCCTTTTTAAACAAATTGCAGAATTAATTAGCAAATAAGATTAGATTTTGATCACAATTTCATAGTCTACTGCTTGCTCCAGACATAATTAAACTAAATGAGGTGATGTCATTGTTGCAAAGAAAGGTAGAAATCAACACACGGTTGTGATTGAATAATTTTAATCACAATTTGGAAAATAGCTGACTCCCGTAGGATGGAATACCCTCTGCATGGGCGCCGATTTTGATCAGTCTTTTTGAAAGCTTATTAGCTTTTTCTTGATGATCAGTTGGCATTCTTCCTAAAATTGTGTGTGATCCAAACAAGAACACATGGTCACATAAAAAAATGTACTTTGTGCCTATGGTGATGTAAGGATTGATTAGAATTGGCGGGAAATTAGAGGAAATGACAAATATTGGCGATAGAAAGGAAAAGAACATAATTACAGCTGGCTGGGGATCTTATAATAACTTTCACCTTTGGCCATAGTGAATATACTAGAAATATTTTAATTAAAATCACAGGTAATATATAAGTATAAAGGATAATCTATAACTTGTTTACTTAAAAAGGGTATGTACCTGTAGGTATTATAGTTTGTTGCAATTTTTTACATTTCTTCCTTTTCTTCCTTTAGCATGTTTGTATCCGAATAATTTTGTGTTCCAAATAGGTAATTTTCAAATTGTGCTCATGTAACTACAGAATATTTTATTTAACTTCAATGTTTTTTCTCCAATTTCTGTACATGTTGTATGCATTTGTCTTTTTGTAGGCTGCCTCCCACTCTTTCCTGTCTAATGTTTTAACGTGCTTGTTGATATATATTAATAAGGTAAGAACTTATATAGCGCCATTTAAAAAACCGAAGTAATTATCAGTGGCGCTTCACGTTATTGTTGGAATAAGTGCGTTTTGAGTGATTTTTTAAATAAAGCAATTGATGTTGATTTTTTAATGTGAAGTGGTAGTGCGTTCCAGAGTGTGGCTGCAGCAAATGAAAATGATCTGCGTCCGAAGGTCTTAGTGTTGGTGCGAGGGACAGAAATTAAATTGAGATCAGATGAACGTAGGGAACGGCCAGGCACATATTTGGGAAGAAGTTGATTAATGTATTTTGTTTGATTGAGAGTCAGTGACTTATAAGTCAGTAAAAGGATTTTATTGAACCAAAGCAAAAATAAATATCTGTTCTGTATTTCTTACCATAAAACTGTAAATACATTGTTGCGACTTGCTTCGGACTTAGCACCACTTGGTGCCAAATAAGGAGCTCATCCACAAGACCACGCAATTGCGACGTGCCAGGTTTCCTCTTATCGGCCAATCCCAGGACAAAAGGTGTCTGCGATGTTACATGAGGCCTTTAAATGTAAATGTATTTTAGTTTTAAATATTGTTTTTTTAATTAATAATACAATTTTAAAGAATAAAACCATAACAAAAATGATAGCAGTAATAATATTTCAAATATCTATGGCACTAATTCTGAATAAAGTCAAAGGCACAACAGTAATGGGAAAAAGTAATAATAATAATAACAATAATAATAATAATACAATATAAAATAACTTTGTGGATGACATTGCTCTTATATCATCTAGTATTCAACATATGCAGACAAAGACAACAAAACTAAATGACTTTGCTGCAAAAACTGGGCTAAAGATAAATAAGAACAAAAATAATGTACTAAGGATAAATAACAACAATTATAGCAGAATAGAGATTGAGGGACATCAACTTAATGACAAATACACATACCTAGGGGTCACTATTAGCAAACAGGGGGCGGCAGTGAAGACATCAACTCTAGAATTTGGAAGGCAATGGCATAATTCATGAAGCTGAAACAAATATGGAAATCTAACGAATACCTACTGAAAACCAAAACCAGGCTATTTAATACTCTAGTCAAATCTGTACTACTCTATGGATGCGAAACATGGAAGATAAATGAAGGAGATAAAAAGAAGCTTGATATATTCCAATTCAAATGCTTAAGGAGAATTATAAAGATCAGATGGCCATATAATAATAATAATAATTTTGGCTTATATAGCGCATTAAGCAAAAGCCTTAATGCGCTTAACAATAAAAATAAAAATGCTAGGAGAAATTTAAGAAAAGTACATATAAAAAAAAAAATATATATACATAAGTATATGTCATTACTAATGCTGAACTACTCAACAAAACCTACATAAAAATAATTAGTGAGGAAGTAAAATCTAGAAGATGGAAGTGGATCAGCCACGTGCTAAGGATGAATCCTGAAAGTCACTGCATGACTGCTATTTCATGGAAGCCTGAAGGAAAACGAAAAGTGGGACGCCCTAGAACAACTTGGAGGCGAACGGTTGAGAAGGAGAGAACAATGCTAGGATGCAGATCTTGGAATGAAGCAGGACCGATTGCCAGAAACAGAACTGAGTGGAGAGCACATCTTGCAGCCTTATGGGACACTTGGCCCAAAGAGGAAAGGTAAGGTAAGGATAAAATAACTAGTATAATTGTATATGCTTACAAGAATACTAGAAAGATAAAACAACAAAGCAATGTTTTTATTAGATAGCTCTTGAAATATTTTTTTTATTTTTATAGAATTCGCCAAATACTGGCAAAAAGCCACTCTACGTAAAGGGCAGAAAAAGAGGGAAAAAACAGGACAAGAACCACTTTAGATCCCAATCAAAACAAACTTTCAAGAATCATTTCAGAGTGGACAAGATGATGATTCACACTACACTTGAAACCAGTGAGGTTAAATTCATCAGGGAAACAGTCCCCGGAAAGGAAATTCCACAAAGCGGTGGCTCTGGGAAAACAGATCCTTTCAAATTGTTTGGTTCTGCACTTCGGCTTCGTCAAAGTAAGATGGTCAGAAGCTTTTGAGAGCCTAGTGACGTGACCGAATGATTTTGATGGTGGAATGAGATCTGATAACACAAAAGAACAAAATCCATAAACATATCTATAAAAATTTAAATAAACAAATGGAGGCAACTGCACTTCTATGAGCAAGAGGATATATGCAGATGTAGAAAACGATCACCTGCCATATTTGGTCTAAATAGAGATTTGGAATTTTAAGAAACAATGCAGATTAGGTTCTCAGGAGATCACCCCCTTCTGATGAACCACATTCAATGCGTTAACATCTACTAAAAATTCATAACCCAAACAAAACAATAACCCTTAACAAATGAACCTACTCTGCCAGACTTTGACCAAGAGTTGATCCTTCCATTTCACCATTAATGAACACACGGCACTCACTGATGGGACTCCACGTAACGACCACAAACTGCCAACGTTTACTGTGAAGCTGGAATGGAACCTGCCAAATCTGATCCACAGTCACGACATCCATTAAACATTGCAGTATGTCAGGCTGACCGCTTGAGCATGTGATGCAGAGACCATGAGGATCAATTGTGCATAAGACATCAGTTTTCCTAAAAGAGAGAGCAGATATCAATTTTTACACTGCATTGACACAGGGGTTGTAGTTTGGCAACTCTATTTGTAAGGTCAGAGATTAAAAACTACACTGTTTATTTTACATGTGTGATTGGGCAAAGAATTTATATCATATTTCATTTTTATCAACCCAGGTGTATAGATGGGTACCTGGTAGGAAGTCGTAACAGTGACTACTTTGGCTTCTGCACAACTAAGAATATAGTAAGTTCCCAGGGAGCCAAGGAGGTTGCACATTGTATATGGAAAATGGATCCAAAGAATATGGGTAAAACATTGCAGGAATTTTGAGATTTTCACTGAACAATAATAAGAGAAATTTAAATACTCTTGCCTGTTTTAATCAAATAATTTTCCAAAATAAATAGTTAACTGTGATAATGCAGGTTATTAATAAATCAGAAATAATAATAATAAATAAACAATAAAGAAAATATTAAATTACTATACTAAAAGGGGAGTAAGGAAACAGATTGAGATTAAAAATCCAAACATTCTAAACAAACTGAAAAATATAACATGTGTTTTAAACCAAGGTGGCCTGGATCACAGTAATTATTTCTGATTGTTCTTTTTGTCATATTCCAATTAATTAATTTGTCTACACTGGTTGATTCCTAGAAAACTTGGCTCGTTCCATAACTTACCTGGATGGAGGAGGTGGCTTTAATTTCAACCAGATGGATAAACTGAAACCCTCGTGACAAACCTCAGGGTCAACGACACATTCATCGACAGCACTGGTATCAAGAAGTTCCAGTTTTCCTGTAACAAATATTAAAATAAATTATCATAAATTATCTATCTTTCTTTCACATTTAACAGCAGGATACACCACAGGATGCAATTTTGTCCATGCTATATTTACTCATTATGAGGCTTGGGGTGTAATCTTTAAAAGTTTCAGGTGAAAGAAAATTAATTAATACTAACAATTAAACCCAGGACTTTGCCATTAAAAGGTAAGGAAATCTTATCATCAAACCATAGCTTTATTATTATTAATAATATTGTTATTAGCATATATTTATGAATTAACCCATTAGAAATAAAACTAAGTATATCATTATTCTTAATTATTTATTTATCATTACATTGATTGATTGATTAATTGATTGATTGATTGATTGATTGATTGATTGATTGATTGATGGATTTATTGATAGATATTCTGTAATTTACATACAAAACCAGCAGACTGAAATATTTCTAGTAACAAACAATATAGAAAATTACTATACAACAACAATATATATCATCCAACACAGAGACAAATATTATCAATATAGTAAGGCTGTTCACTAAGATCACAAGTAGTGGTTATCAAATCTTTTAACAATAATGCATGGTCATAAATTTGAAAATAACAGGTACTCTAGTTTTATAAAATCATGTGCAATGTATGTAAGTTATTAACTCTTACATTTTCATGAGCATGCTGAATATTACATTCTAATACAACATTAGAACAGTTCTGTGAAAAACTACATGCAAAATATGAGGCAATTTGTGCATTTGTGACTTGTACTTTCAAAAAACTTCCAATCCAACAAACACTTGGACCCCAGAAACACTGTAACCTTTGTGACAAGAGGCAGAATATCCCTAATAAATTATTATCAAACACAAATTGAATTTTGTATTGCATAATAATTGATTATGTTTGATAATTACCATCACAATGTTTCTGCTTCATATTCATAACCAATGCTTTGCTAGACACTCCTCTAACGATGTCTAGGCAACCATGGCTGACTTTTCCTCGACTGCTAACTCCCGTCGCTGAATCAAGTACCTCCACCCCATCTTCATCTGTTCGAAGAATGTCAAAATTCCAGTTGTGCGACACTTTGTCTTCGATAGGTATAACTAGGAAAATAAATTAGGTTAACAAATTAATACCATCTACATAGTTTTGTCTTCAATGGTATAACAAGAAACTAGAAAAGGATAAGATATTTTGCAGAGGGTTTAATTGAATGGTTGTGGTTTAAGCGCACAATACTGAGGTTGAATTCAAATCCCAAGATATCTATGTAGTTGGGAAAGGCACTTTTTCAACATTTGTTTCTTGCTATCCAGCAATACTGTATAAATAGATATCATCTAAAATGGAATTTTTCAATGTTGATCTATCTATGCTGAATGTTCATTCACAACAAGTAAACATTCCATAAGAATAAGATTATTATTATTAATAAAATTGGTTTCTTAGTTCATCAAGAGGTACTATAATAGAAAAAGCAATCATTTATAGCAATGTAATAATATTAAGAAGATTATTAATAAAATTGGTTTCTAGTTCATCAAGGGGTACTATAATAGATAAAGTAATCATTTATAGCAATGTAATAATATTAAGAAGATTATTATTAATAATAAAATTGGTTTCTTAGTTCATCAAGGGGTACTATAATAGATAAAGCAATCATTTATAGCAATGTAATAATATTAAGAAGATTATTATTAATAATAATAAAATTGGTTTCTAAGTTCATCAAGGGGTACTATAATAGATAAAGTTTTCAAAGCACTTCATAATTCCTCGCCAATGTTTATTTCACAACTCATTCATCCTTACATTCCTAAGAGGTCTCTGAGATCTAGTTCAGAGTCTCTACTTGCTCATTCCACTCGCCCGTCGACAAAGCATTATGGTAGTCGTTCTTTCTCTTGGGCTTCTGTCTTTCTTTGGAATGCTCTGCCTATTACAATCTGACAGGCAACTTCCATTGATGATTTTAAGGCAGCTTTAAAAACTCACCTTTTTAACTTGTATTTTTCTTAATTTTTTTTTCCCCGAATTTTATTTTTACTGTTAAGCGCATTGAGGCTTTAGCATAATGCGCTATATAAGCCAAAATTATTATTATTATTATCATTTATAGCAATGTAATAATATTAAGTAATTCAAAGTGACTTTTTGTAGCACAAGCCAAGGGGTCTCTATGCTCTATGAGAAAATAAAACATACAGCATTTTAAACATTTTTTTTTTCAATTGTAGATAGGCATATAAAATAGTGGGGCACAAAGGTGTACAGTATAACATGATGAAAATTCATATAACAGCACTCTCTTCTTCCCCATTATTCTCAGGTCTGAACTCACAATTTTCATATGGAACAGTGGTATGGTTTATCCTTCAAATTAAAAGATCTAGGGTTTGAGTCAGAAAATGGTCATTTTTTTAATTGCATCCTCAGGCAAGGCACTTCAATAATTGCCTTTCTTCACCCCTAGAAAATACATGGGTACCTAGTAGGTTATGAAATAGTTCCCCAGAAAACAAAGTACATTAAGTTACCCAATGGCAAAGGTAATTTATTATTGTAAAGCGTACAGAGACCTTGAAATTACGTGCTATTTATGAATGACATCTTATTTCTATTTTCCCTTCCCCACAATCCTTTTAAAGTGTCTCATGTATTACTTCCAATTCAATACATTAGATTTAATACATGAAAACCTGACTGAGAGTTGATAGATAAGCATGTAGGTACACACAAGATAGATTATATTACAGTATAAGGTAAATAATGAAAAGTGGGGGTAAACTACAAGAAACACTGGATAAGGACTTGATAAATTAATGCTTAGAGCTCTTTTTACCTTCATCAATATAAAAAAGAATAAATAACATTATAGCTACCAGGCTTTTTCAGCTGGAAGTCCACACTTATTGATGAGTCCTTGTCTGTGCCTTGCAGTCTACATGTGTACGTTCCATACATGCCACGCTCTATTTTTGGTATACGCAGCAGCTGACGGTCATCACTCAGGAGGGCAGTATGATGCGAAGTAAACAATCGTTGATCTTTATACCTGCCAATTAAATTTTTGGTCTTGTTTTAAATAATGAATGATATGTACAATGTGAAGGCCTTCTTATGCCACTACAACAACAATAATCAGAATCCAACTTACGAGAAGACTTTCGTTTCCTAATATATCTTAAGCAAAGGTTATTTCTATCATTAATTCGCAGCATTTTTAAAATATAAAATATATCATCAGATAGTAAGGAACAGGCTGATGAGAAAATACTGAAGGCACCTCCCACCCATGCCCTCTTGTAGATTTAATAACACCATGTTAATATCAATCAGATTGTCAGTCAGTGTTGTCTGCCATTACACCATTTGTAATACAGTAGGTTACCCCTTCTCGTTTTATGGAATCACAAATGTCTTCCTTTAATCAGTTGAATTAACCTACTCATAAATTATATGAAAACACCAGAACACATGACTAATTTTAATGTGTTCCTTAATATGATGCTTTATCTGAAGTATCTTTACCAATGACAATAAACTATTATCATGTGATATCACTGACCAATGAATTCATCAATTAATATATTAACCACAGTAAAGCATCACCTGCAATTGTAATTGCTTACTTGATTGTTTGTCTTTCCAAAAATACTTAAACAATCAAATAAGCAATTACAATTGAATCCCAACTATGTTAAACAACCATAGTTCATTAAGATACAACTTTGTAATTGAATTTAAGAATATAATACTGTTTTAAAATGAGATTATATTGATATATATACCAGAAAGTAGCAAATGTACCTACCACTTCAGCAATGGTTTATATACTCCATGAACTTTAACCTTAAACTGTATTGAACTCCCTAGTGGTCGATAAACAGTACTTGGGAATGTTTGAGGATCTCTCGTTAATCTCTGAGCTAAATTATTATAAAAGCAAGAGAAAAAAAATCCACATTGAGTTTGTTAGTATGCACCCGATAATCTGAATTAAAAAAAGAATAACTACAAAAACGAAATCACTAAACTTTTGGTACACTATGTGTAAAAATATGGTTTTGAGGTATAACCAGAGTATCTGATTTAAAAGTAATTAGTACTGAGGAATTAAAAAATTGAAATCGTGTATGTTACACCCATACACCACAATGCTCGAGTTTCAACATAGCTGTACTCAACTTTATTGTGTAAATTGAGGGCGCCATTTAAAACGATGATATGCTTAGGCAAATTGTGATTGGCTGAATCTTGGATTCATGAGGTATTTTGTTCCATAGGGCCTTGTGAGGAGTGGAATTGGCTCGATTTGTTTTTACAATTCGTAGAGACTGGCAACGGTATCTTAATAATGGAAGGCCTAATAAATCACAAATGACTGAGGAAAAGAAACTATTGTAGTAGTTTATCAAACTACCCTATTTATATATTCTCCCTTTATCATTCTCAACTTCACAATTCAGTAGTTTTCTCAATTTCATTGAGGCACTTTCATGTTCTCTTCAATTATATCATAGTTTATACTAATTTGTACGATAATCAAAATTGAAAATAAGAAACAGCTATATTTCCACTGGGAAAATTCAACATCAATGACATTTTGAAAGGGACCCCCACCTTCTTCACAGAATGAGTCAATTAGATGGAAGATGGATAACCAGAGTTTTTCACTTTAAAGAAGGGGGCAAGAGCATCGACTGACCCCCTTCCTCATGTAACCATGATACAATGTGACAACTGACTTCTTTCTATTACCCAGTTATGACAATAAGACCTGCTTTATTATCTACATTATTTTAGGTAAGTATTAGTCGGCATAAAAATTATTACATTTGACGCTTGTGGCGTAGCAGTAGGGTTTGAACTAACAAGCGAAATGTCTTGGGCTTAAATTTAAGACAAAGAACTTCACCCCAAATTAGGAAGATATTGCAAGAAGTCTACTAGGTTTGAGCACCTTTGTGCAATGTAATGACATTACTTGATACTCCTACTACCCAGGGTGCCGAGTATGCGTTTGAACCGATGGCCACTAAAATACTATTTGAAGTGCAACTGATATGGTTGACACATTTAAATTTGATTGGCATATTATCATAATTAATAAGTGAAATGCTAATATCATTTGATAGAAGGGAAGCAATTTATGATTTTTTTGAATAAATGAATATAATTCTTCGAATGAGTATTAATAATAAGTGACAGTGATGACTTGCGAAAAAAATAGATTATAAAACATGTCTTTATTAGTTACGCTAATGTTCAATTAAAAGATTTGGATTTTGTGGTTTTCCTGTACTTATTCAAGTTTAATTATCATTATCATCTTCATCTAGGATGGTTTTACCATAGAAGAATAATTATCTATGACATTTCAGTTGCCAATCTACTATTATTAGTGGGCATGTTTAGAAAAGATGGAGACATCTCACTGCAAGAATGCTAAATATATTTCAATCTATTTGCCAATTATGTTTGGATGGATTTAATCTAATGAGCATGTAGGCATGTGAGATTGACACTTAATATACTTCAGTTATAAAAAATGTGTAGGAAAAAATGCAATACTGTACAGTACCTTTCAACAACTGAAATCGTCGTTTGGCAAGGAAGTAATTTTTGTTGCTGTATACGGCACACACATACATTTGATAGTCTTTTTCCTCTATGTGTTTTATCACAAGTTTCTGGCGCTCATCTTGTAGTCTGATGTTACCAGGGAGGATGGAATGTGCGCCCTCTATGTACCAGTAGAATGATGTTGCGTAATCTGGTAGCTGGATGTAGTCTTTGATGTCAATCATTAAGGATGTCCCATGAGGCTTTGGACCAATGTCTATTTTACATTAGAGAAAAAATATTTCAAAATCATCAATTATGATTTTAGAATATTAAATAATGTGGAGCTAATAATAGAACTACAGTATAATACAGTATTGACAATAATAAATAATTAATATAATGATAATTAATTGTGACAGTAGAATTCTACAATCATCATGATATTCTTATCCCCAAGGAAGGAAAATACATTGTACTACTACCTGCGACATTTGACCATCACAAAGACATGGATGTTTCCGGAGTGTAAAACTTACCAATTAGAACAGGGCCAGTGGTGTTAGAATTCTACCATCATCATGATACAGTATTCTTATTCCTTGTGCAATGAAAATACATTGGGGTAATTCTGTGGCAAATCAACCAGAGGTCCCAGGTCGACCATCTCGGATTTTCATGAAACTTCATAAAAATGATCCACTATGTGAAAAATCAACATACACAAATGATTAGCCCGAATGGATATGTAGTTTCCGAGATATTGACGCCCCCCAAAAAAGTGGCGTGGCTCTTCAAGTTGCGCAAACACAATTTCCTCCAAATTTAGAAGCTTATAACTCGGGATTGGTTATAGCTATCAAGGTCAAACTTGGTATTCTAACTTATATTCCACCATACTACACAAATATGGCATCAGATTAACTGTTATTCCTTCTCTGTTGAAGTTATCTGCACTCAAAATAGCCACTTTGTTAAAAGACGCAATTTTTTTGTGATTTTCAATGTCAACCTATGTCCATATGAGTGAGTGTATACATCTCAAATTACAGATATATTATCTATGGGTCTCTAGCCACAAGCAAGCACAGGCTGATCAAATAAATTAAAATGGAATGGCATCCATTCAAAGTTGGGACCAGCCCTAAAAAAGTGAAAAAGCCTATGTTTCCCATTAACAGTTCGTCATGTGGACAGTTAAAATCTTTTCTTAAATTTACACCAGTTAACCAGATATATTAGATCTACTTATACACCAAATTTCAGCTTCGGTACTCAGCTCCTTCATGGTTAGGTAGTATGTTGAAAACACATCAGCATATGGAAATGGATACTTAAGGGTATATATACACCATTTTCGCTAAATTTGAAATGAAAATTTCTGAGAACTTGGCTGTTGGGGGGACATTGAGAGGCCTAGGCTTTTTGCTCAACACATATTTTAACATAATCGGAAACAACTACATTTTTTAAGAGTTGAATCATTCTATGCCATGGGATCATAGATTTTAAAAACTTTTTATACGGACAGTTATTCATGTGAATTGGAAAACCTGAAATTTTTAGACTTAAAATTCTGTTTGTTTTCCCGTAGCGGCAGTTTGATGTAAAAGGGGGCGTGGCACAAATTAGTGCACTGTGAAATTAACTTTGATTTTCATATGCTAATATCTTTGGAAGTACAGCACCTATAACCTTCAGATTTTGTGGTGTAGGACATCTTTTAATGCTGATTCCAAATCTGCAAAAGTTGTAGCATGTACCATTGTGGAATAGCAATGGTCTAAAAATGGGACAAAAACCTGTCTGGAGTTTATAACTATATATATGTAAGTACTACTGGGTGTGGGTTATGATTCCTAAACATTTCCAGATTAAAAAAGTTTTTCTTTTTGAGTTACAGCTACCTGAACAATGGTCCAGACAGGATTTTGTCCAATTTTAGACCATTGCTTTTCTAAATTGGTACATGCTACAACTTTTCTGATTGCAGATTTGGAATCAGCATTAAAAGATGTCCTACACCACAAAATCTGAAGGTTAAGATTTGGAATCAGCAGTAAAAGTTGTTCTACACCACAAATTCTGTAGGTTATAGGCGTTGAACTTCCGAAGATATTGGGACACGAAAAATCCAAGTTAAGTTTGCAGCGCACTATTTTGTGCACACACCCCCGTTTTTGTGCACAAACTGCTGCTACAGGAAAATTAACAGGAATTGTCTCAAAATTCCAGGTTTTTCAATTCACATGAATGTCTGTCAGTATGCATAAAATCTAAGACCCATGGCATAGAACAACCCAACTCTTAGCAACTTTCGTTATTTCCGATTATGTTAAAATATGTGTCTGGACCATTATTCAGGTAGCTGTAACTCAAAAAGTAAATCTTTTTTAATCTCCAAATTTTTAGGAATCATAACCCACCAGTAGTGCTTCCTATATAGACAGTAATAAACTTAACTAAACTTTAAATTTCCCCCGGATGCAGCCCTCCAAAAATGCAAAAAGTTTGTCCAGGCAGGTTTTTGTCCCATTTTCAAACCATTGCTTTTCCAAATTGGTACATGCTACCACTTGTCTGATTGCAGATTTGGAATCAGTAGTAAAAGATGTTCTACACCACAAAGTACCTCCGAAGATATTAGCATACGAAAATCAAATTTAATTTCATGGTGCACTATTTTGTGCCACGCCCCTTTTACATCAAACTGCCGCTACGGGAAAACAAACAGGAATTGAAGTCTAAATTTTTCAATTCACATGAATAAATGTCCGTATAAAAATTTAAAAAAATCTATGACCCCATGGCATGGAATGATTCACCTCTTAAAAAATGTAGTTATTTACGATTATGTTAAAATATGTGTCGTTTTCAACATAGTACCTAACCATGAAGGAGCTGAGTACCAAAGCTGAAATTTGGTGTATAAGTAGATCTAATATATCTGGTTAACTGGTGTAAATTACACAAATCAATCGTGATGTTGGTAGTCTATGAGTGAGATACTTACCTGGATAACCGACTAATTGCCACGAGCTGAGAGAGATCAGAGCCGAGGACAATGTCCTCAGATTCCGACTCAAGATGCTCGGACGAGTCGTCCATAGGCGACTCGCCGGCCACCCGGAACCCATCGCCAGGGACAGGAGGGGCAGAAACCGGAGGATCCGGGACCGCCGAAGCGGCCCGCATTCCGGCGAAAACCTCCCGAGCCACCCGGCCCACCTGCTCCGAAATCAACGAAACCAACGCCGGATCCAGCGGAGGGGAAGGACCCGCCGAACACGAAGCCGACGAATCCTCCAGCGGTGGAGGCGAGTCATCCGGCGCCGCAACAACCCCCGACGCAGCCGGCAGCGAACTCTGAGATCGAGTGGCAGCCTGAGCTGCCCAATCCAGAGCCGCCGCAAACTTAGTCGGGGGCCAGCGCGCACAAATCTCGCAAGGCTCAGCCTTGCTACACGAGCGACACAACGGGCACTCCGAGTGCCGGTCGAGCTTAACACTCGGTTTAGGGCCCCCACACGCCAAGCACAAAGACTTGCGAGCGGACATGCCGATCTAGACAACAATAAACAAAGGATATCTTGTCAAGTTGAAAATAAATCCAAGGCAAAATAAGAACAGAATAGCTTGAAAAGACTGCTAGTAATTTCAAAGGCTGGGTGTATCCAACTTCGAACAACGTCGAAAAGGGAATGAGGACGTTTGTTAGGGAGACGGTTCGCACGTGGGGCCTTGGGTCGGTCTGTTCCATTTTTTTCGAAGGGGTGTTCCGTTTTGTTAACAATGGCAATTAGTCGGTTATCCAGGTAAGTATTCACGAAATAGACTTAAGAAAATATTTTAACTGTCCACATGACAAACCGTTAACAGGAAACATAGGCTTTTTCACTTTTTTAGGGTTGGTCCCAACTTTGAATGGATGCCATTCCATTTTAATTCATTTGATCAGTCTGTGCTTGCTTGTGGCTAGAGACAACTACCCATAGATAGTATATCTGTACTTTAAGATGTATACACTCACTCATATGGACACAGGGTGACCTCAAAAATCACAAAAAAAAAATTGCGTAGTTAATCAAAGTGGCTATTTTGAGTGCAGATACTTCAAAGGAGAAAGGATAACAGTTAATCTGATGCCATACTTGTGTAGTATGGTGGAAGTTAGAATACCAAGTTTGATCTGGATAGCTATTACCAATCCAGAGTTATAAGCTTCCAAAGTTGGAGGAAATTGTGTTTAAAGAGCCACGTCCCTTTTTTGAGCAGTCAATATCTCAGAAACTACAAAAACTATAACACTAATTTTTTTTAAGTGTTGGTTTTTCACATAGTTGATCATTTTTATGGAGTTTCATCAAAATCTGAGAGGGTCATACTGGAACTTTTCTGAAATCTGGATTTGACACGGAATGACCCATTGTACTCCTAGCTGCGACATTTGAACATCGCTCAGATATGGACGTTTCCGTGTGTACAACTTAGCAATCAGAACAGGCCCAGGAATACAGTAAGTGCATGTCTTACAAACACATGTGTTTCCCCACAAACACGCACGTTTACAGACATTTACGCTATTGTTTTGTGGGATCCTAGCAACAATATGCAAAGAGCAGGGCTTAGCAGAAAACTCCATCACGGCACGTTGCTACATTGCAAGGCTCCCAAGTCTCCCGCAACCCCCAGGAGTCTCCCGCAAATCGGTATGGTCTCCCGCACTCCCACAAACAAGCAAAAATCTCCCGGAAATTCACTTATCTCCCACAAATTCAGTAAAAAACAGATCTTTTTGTTTTACTTAGGCTTAAACTTTGGTTGCTGATTATTTTTTGCAGTCTGACAGTGCCATTTTTCGAGCTTCTAAAGGTGCCTATTCTAAAAAAATGTCATCACCTCAGCCCCAATCATGGTGGGTCTGAGGTGGGCGTGGCCCTTCATTTGATACCTACAATTATTTTTCCTCATAGAATATATAGCGCTCCTAATGTCATTAAACGAATCTCCAGGAAATGGGTTCATCCAACATTGCTTTTAAAACCTTTATAATTGCTTACTAATGTAAAAACATTATGATGTTTAAAATATGTCTAACTTACAATAATACTAATACAAATAAAAGCAATGATATATAAATAATAATCTGGACTGCCAAAAGTGATTATTATGCACACTATAAACAAATCTATATTAGTTGCTTACAAAGGAAAACAGTAGCAGAATGCACGTCAACTGCCTAATACACATTTCAAAATGAATGCAATCTTGCATTGTTGATGCCTATTAGTTGCCAGTTTGCATTTCTAACACCCATGCTATTACTTCCTTTGACATGTTAAGTATCCTTTTACTATTTCTATACATCCTAATAAAAAATATAAAAGATATGACCAACTGCAAGGTTCAAATAAATCATCACTGCTACGGAAACACAAAAAACATTTCGTTTCTGTATTATTTTGACAGGGAAAATGATCACGCAAAAACACATAGGAAGCTACACCCGTAAAAATTAAGACTCACTAAGACCAGTTTGTACAATAATTGGCCAGGAAATAAGGCAAGCATCTTTCTACAGGTAGAACGGATAGCTCTAGGCTCAAGAGCGAATCATGGACTGGGATGTCCCAGCAAAAAACAGGTCATGTTCAAGGGCAGTTTAGGAAGCATGATCAGCACTTAGTCATACTGTATGTCATTTTTTTAAACATCATCAACAGATTGTTTATCGTTTCACAGCCAGAGTAACCAGAATTTGCATCTACTCAATTAGTAACTAGTATGACTCAAATGAGTGTAAGCTATGAATGAGTTGAGTAATTGGAAAGGAAATGGTTATTATTTCTGCAGTAGCATCTAAATCTGTTATATATGCCCATTTTCTATTGTAAAAAACAATAATAATAAAAATACTCAATATTATTAATTACAGTATATGACATAGCGCACAAAAAAGAGAAATCAATAAAGCAAACATATACACATAATCCATTCATGTTGGCGCAGTATTAACGCTCACTTTAAAATCTTGCTTTTACATTTGACTGCAAACATGCCAAGGCTCTTATCATACATTAGATGAATAAATCCATCACTTAAATATATTTATGAAATATTATTTCTAAAATTTAAAAAATAATATTTAATTTTAGGCAGTGGCTATTGTTACACCAGTCTTAAGTGAATTCCTACTTTTGATTGGACGTTATTGAGTGAATAACATCCAATCAATGATTAGGAATTTATTTAAGACTGGTTGTAATAATAGCCACCTCCTTAACTTTAATAACTGCTTTTCCTCAACTCAGACGGTGTACAGTATAATTTTAACTATTAATACAATGTAATTACCAATTGAGTGGACCTGAATAACAAAATTGATGTAATTCTGCCTTGATTTCACCTCAACTTTAAAGCTGTTGCTAGCCATATCATAGTTACGTATCTTCATCAATTCAAGGTTGCGGCGATCGTGTGACAGGAACATGTTGCGCGGAAGCTTTCCTTCATCTTCCAGGCTCAGCAGTAGGGGCGAGGATTTTCCAAGAATTTTCACACGTCGAAACCACTTGATATCATCTGGTTTGTGCATGCCATTGATGTTTATCTTCAGGATTGCCTTTTCCCCGACCTTGTGGACTTGGTAGCAGGTGGATGTTTTATTTATGAAGTGATCACATTGATCAGCTGATATTTTGATAACTAGAAAGAAAAATAAATGTTAAATTTTTTGAAATCAAAAATTACAATTTGGAGATGGAATAATAACAATGGATGGCTAAAGTGAGGTTAAAAGACAGCCTACCCTTAGATATAATATCAGGGGACTAAAGCCACAATCACACTGGACATTCAAGTGTGGACAGTGCAGTAAGATTCCAGAATTGGAATGTTACCACGGCCTCGGTAAAATTTTCCCTTTTTTAATTAAGTTCATTGCGGCTTTTGCTACATGACAGGGATCTCAGGAATCCCAATTCAGAAGACGCCACTTCCCGGAGACCTCTTAAATGTCCTTTATTAACACATCTTATATACAGTATGTTGCTGTGTGGTGATAACCACAATTGCGAAAGACAAGTGATAATAAATATTATGATATTATTAGTCAAAACATTCAAATGTCATGAATTTGTGGGAGATGAGCTAGTTCAGGGGTGGATCCAGAAGTTTTCAAATGGCGGGAGAGGGGGGGGGGGGAATCACAACATATTCAGAATGAGTAGCGCTAATTTCAATATGCATTTAAAAATCTAGTGGCAAAATGGGGGGGGGGGGACGTACCCTCTGTATTGGATACGCTCCTGGAATAGTTTGTGGGAAATTTCATTCTAGTTTGCCCAATTTTTGTTTATTTTCTTTGATTAAGAAAAAGTAAACATTTTGAAATATGCTATATGGGTTTGATGTGCATTTTTACCTATTGGCTGCAGTGTAGTAAAGCCCCGACAGAGCCGAGTCAGTAGTCAAGAGTGCTCATAAGAACAAAAACATATAAACTTGAATATTTAAAGAAAAGCAGGCACTATATAAAATAAATGATAGCTCTCGACGAGCCCTCCTTCTTCTACGCTAGCAGTACTGTGTATGCAGAGACGGCTTTTCCCCTCACTCACCTCACTCTCATGCATCTTCCAGCCTCCTGGTTTTGCTGTGTGTGATTGTCAGACCCATGGTCAGATGAGTTTTGACTCGAACCATCCATCATCATACATAGACTAATATTGATAGTCTCATGCGTACGTACCTACCTAGCCTATCTATGCTATATCATCAGTAGGCCTAGCTAGATAGAGTAGGCCTGTTCCGATTGCTTCCTGTAACAGCACATGCGTTCTGTTGTTAGGAACTTTTGTAGCCTAGGCCCACACTAGGCCATACCTGATGAGTTTCAGATGCTATCGCGCCGCGTCCAGCACTATGCAATTGCGGCAACAATCAGCCTAGCCTAGTGGCAGTGCGAACAAACGTACGGTACGTTACCGTCTGTGTGTGTCAAACTTGTTTAGACCTAGTGAGGGCGCTGTGTATTATTGACTTTTCAAACTTTAATAATGGTGCTGTTTTATTAATAAGCTTAATTGTCGTTAATTAGCCTTAATAACGAATATTTAGTACTAGGTTTAGTCTTTAGGCTCTTATCCACTACAATAATAATGAAAAAGGTTCGACTAAACAATGGCAATGTACCCTAGCTAGGCTAGTGTGATCCAACCGGGTTGAAAAGAAGGATCGGCACGGCAGCCGTGAATGAGTCACAAATTACAGACAGGCCTAGCTTAGCCTAGCCTAGGCCTCGGCTTATTTTCCAAATATATAAAGTTTTCTTACCACCAGATGCTACATGTATACATAATAAATTAGTGATCAGGGTGATAGCTAAATATAATTCCATTTTGTATCATGATGAACATTCATAATGAATAAGTTGAAAAAGCGCATAATGGATTGACTAGGCTGGCCTCCTCTGAAACATTGAACTTTCTAGCGCGCGCTGAGAAGCACACACACACACGCGCAACGCACAATGTTATTATGTAGGCGAAAAAATATGGAATATTGTATTTTTTATTAAAATCTTCTCCCACGTTCTTTGAAAAAAAAAAATGCCATACCGGTAGGCTAATTTAATTTTTGTTCATAGTGTCTATTTTAAATTCTTTCGTATTCAATCATTTTCATAGGGGTCATATGGAAAGGAATGCAAGTCAATAATGATTAAATAGCGAACATGGAACCAAAATTAGGAGGCCTATAATTGTTGTTCATTCAGGAACATGGGCTAATAAAAATTGTCAACAGATAGGCATAATATGCCTACGAATGTTTTAAACAGGAAAGGGATGAAGTATATATACATATAATAATGTAGGCCTATATATATATACTGTCTCTTATACACATCTAGATGTGTATAAGAGACAGAGTGTGGACAGTGCAGTAAGATTCCAGAATTGGAATGTTACCACGGCCTCGGTAAAATTTTCCCTTTTTTAATTAAGTTCATTGCGGCTTTTGCTACATGACAGGGATCTCAGGAATCCCAATTCAGAAGACGCCACTTCCCGGAGACCTCTTAAATGTCCTTTATTAACACATCTTATATACAGTATGTTGCTGTGTGGTGATAACCACAATTGCGAAAGACAAGTGATAATAAATATTATGATATTATTAGTCAAAACATTCAAATGTCATGAATTTGTGGTACCGTTACGCGTCGACACACCAAAACACAAGTGGTTTTTTCTGTAGCATATTTATGGGAAATGAGTATGGGTGATGTAATTGAGCGTTGAAACAGTCATCCTGGGAAGTATAAGCAAACATAAAAGTGTATTCCCTTAAGCAAAAGAAAGCACTGTTCCATGTTTCAGGAACCATATCGAACTATGGGCGGTGTAGATTTCAATTGAGAAAGACTCAGGATATAAGTTCACTTGTTTGAATCCCACTGCAATATTTTATTGCTCCAACTTATACGGGAGAGGTACAGAGCCTAGAGGGGCATAATATGCAACACATTACAATGTAGGCCTAAAACCTAACAACCTGAGTTGTTTCCTTTCGTCCTATCAAAATGGCAACATCATAATTATGCACTAGGATATTATTGATTTTTGTAAAGGAAGTGCTAATGAAGCGCATAACTCGAGACCATAAATTTACTCGTGTCTCTTCCTTCTTGTCGAGGCGTTATCGGTCATCTTTACACAGTATTAAAGCGGAGTTGTCATATTTTGACGCCATATCGCACATTTGTGTGGTCTGCGGGCGCAAACGAAGAAACTACTGTACGCTTTGCATTACCGATTTAGAGCGAGAAAAGCTTAAAGTTTGCATTTTAAGTATGCTGAACGATGCGGTGTAACTAAACAATCGATAACTTATGTGAATAAGTTTGTGAGCGCAACTTTAAACATGCAGCCCACATTTCCTCATTAAAATATGATAGCCATATTTTCATGGAAAGGTGAATGTCTTGTTTGTAAACTTTCTTTTTGTTCTCGTCAAATATTTTACCAAATTGTGGTCGTTATTTTGGTCATTTATTTTAAAATCAAGCGGATATAATGTTCGATCAAAAAGGGCACGTGTTTTAACGCAGATTTTAATTATTGTAATTGCTATAATTAGACCTTATATTAGTTGTAACTTATGTTTTCATGTTCGACCTTTCATGTCAAATCACTTCAAGTCAGTGACTTATTCAGCAATCAGTATAGAATATATACAAATCATACCAACAATTACAATTACAATATACATACTAAATGTGTGTTGCCATTTTAATTTTCTAAGTGATTTATTATACCAACTCGTTCTACTATCGATGAGATAGTGATCCTAATAGTAATATTATTTTTATTATCATGATTTTTATTCCTATAATTAAAAATCATTGTCTATCAGTAATACATACCGTATTATATATTTATCGCAATCTGTACATTTCTAAACAATACATGAAAATGATTCGAAGACCAAACTTGGCGTCTGTCACACATCCCAATTGCCGTCGCAATGCTCTATTCTGAATAATTGTTCGTGCTTTTAATTGCCTTTTGAAAGGAAGAGATCATCTAATAATTTGTTGAATAGGCCTACCATTTCAAAAACAGAAGAATGACGGTGCTTTAATAGATCAATTTAAAGCTACAAAACATGTTGTAAGTATAGAGCCTGTGTGTGTTTTGTTCCGATAGAGTTTTCGAAAAATCAAGTCTCGAGTACGAACTTCAGCTTCACAAATACGAACCGGTGCGTTAACTTGAACTTATCGTTCATAAAGTGGTGGAGCCAATTCGGTTCAATTCGGTAGTTTAATGTTATAATGTACCGATTTATTTATGATTAAAACTTTGATAGGCCCTTTGAACTGTTCTGTGCCGAATGAGTGTCTAAATATTGAGCATAGGCTTATTAATAATCATATCTCGAATTTATATGGCGTCAATTCAAAAAGCATGTGAAGAGCCACCAGAAAACAAAGGTCAAAGCTGTGACTTAAAGTTGCAAACAGAGTTAAAAGAAGTTATTTTATTTGAAAGCTGGTTCCATAAAAAGGCAGAAATAGAAGTGAAAGAACATAAACAATTGTAAAACAGTGATTAGTTTCATTCTTTCATTGAACAATTTTTAAAAACTGTAGGATTTTAGTATGTAAAATTGTGTTGATCCTTGTTGTTCAGTAATTCGTGATGTGAGCCAAATGGTTTTATTCCTTGGATTTTTTGTTATTTATATTGAAACTAAAATTACTTTATTTAATTGAGTCGAATTGAATAATGTTATTTTGTTTACTGTGATGTACAGGGGTGGCGTCAGGTAGTTCATCGTTCATTTCCCGACAAACGGAGCCGGCCACAACCACCTCAGTCCCACTGCAGGTTGGGATGGAGACGAAAAAAAAATGCCCGAAAATTGCATTCCCAAGTGCTGTTTATTGCTTAGAAAATATTTTTAATTAATTTTCCTCAATATATTTTACCACGACTCCCCACAGCTGGGCCAGGCGTTCCCGAGCTGGACCAGGCTCATTTAGCTCACTGGCTCACCACCCATGTATATTATCATTGTAAAAATTTATTGTGTACTCTTATTGAGGTAATATTATCGACCCAAGAGCGTATTTTTGTTAGCATAAGTTTTAGACGAGAATGTACACCTGCATTAATATTAAACTGACCGGATAAACAGCTTGGTTTAATTTATTCATTTGACGATTTCCTTTTAGAAATAATTATAAGGAAAAAATGACAAAAACCAAAACTGAGTAAAAACAACACAAAGCAGAGAGAGTTTTTAACGGATCATTAGGTCATCTTGTTAAAGGTGTGACGTGAACATTATTAAATACTGTTATCACTGGTTATCAGCTGTTGAGGTTCATCAGCATACGAACAAATGGAAAAATTACATCTGAAAAAATGGAAAACATTGACACATGCCAAGACAACGTTTTACTCGTTTTCATAAGCTAGTTATTGTAAAAGATTGCTGGATTCATCAGTCATCAACAGATCTACGGAGAATCAGTGTAAGTTAAGAGAAGAAGAAAAAAAGGAAAACATCTTAAACGTCCACAAGGCACGAATCAGACATTTTTTTAAATACATTTCCATATTTGTTGTAGAACGTCACACTTGAAAAATTGTTGGGCTGACCAGATCAAATTTTTAGACGAAGCAACTCAGGAGAAAAAAGGCAATGACTAGCCAATAAGAATGGAAAACAAGAATGCACAGTGTATGATGACGTATAAGCTTTCGTGAAAATGTAATAAATGTATTGTATTTGTATTTGTTAAATCATTTCTTGTATATGTATCAGCACTTATCATCAGTTGCTTGCTGGGTTCATCGTCGACAGAACACACAGTGCAAGTCATGTTATACACGGGTTCGTGGCGCTGGTACCCGTGACTTTACTTCCACAGAACAGTTAAAAACCCAACTTTCAATGGAAAGTGCAAATGAAATGAATTAACGAAAAGATCGAAAAATCATGAAATTCCTCCGCAAAATAGTGAGTCAGAGTGAAAGAAATAATAAAAACGTGACAAAATTCCCAACTGAGCCGATAGAGGTGGCAAAGAGAGATTAGGCCGCCGCCGTCAGGGTGCCGGAGAACAACAGGGATGGAGATTGTTGGCCGGATATCTCTCCCATATTTCCAAGTAAGCCTGGCAGACAGTCACCAACAGCTATGTTTAACAATCTGTTTCCAGTATTCCTGTACATTTAAAAAAAAAATAAATATTTGTACAATTTCAATATCGGCTGAAACTTTATGCTTGGTAATTTTGTATTTTAAGTATTTATGTATATTGAGAAATAAAATAATTTTACATGTTGATACCGAAATGAAACGCTACGGTATTATATAAATGCTGTATTTAAATATATAATAAATAAATACGGTTTATTCAACTTTTTACAATTTTGGAAAAGTTTTGTTTAGTACAAATTTTGCATAAATTCTATTGTATTACGAAAAAGCTGTGTATACGTTTTCAATATATATATTTTCAATATCTCAATGGAATGCTATACAGTATTTAGTAATCTTTCGTTCCAGCATCCCTGTTCATTTTCAAGGGTTCTCTGATATGATAATTTGTATCCATTAGTTAGATGCTACTTGAATTATCAAAATTCTTATTATTTCGTATTATGTTATTTTTCATTTTCAAACGCGACTTCTATAAATGTCTATTTGTCTATGTGTTGTTTTTTATTGCTATTGTTACGATAAATAATATTACTATTATCATTGATATTGTTATTTCTTGCTTGAATATTCACGAAATCATCATTTAAATATTATAATTTAAATTTTGAATTTAACAACTGTAATAACATATTTACATAATGTATTTAACAATGCTGGATGTAATACAAGGAATGAGATAGAAGAAAGGGATAAAAACGATTAGTAGACCTATAGTCCTCACCGGATCAATAAACAAAACTCGTTTGCTGAGACATGGTTTAAGGTTTTACTGGTCAAACTACTAAACACCCATGTGACGCACAACAACTCCTGTTCCATTTCACAAAGGCCGTCGAGCAGTTCAGGATCAAAATAATAATATATATTTCTCAAATGTAAATTTTACAAATTTAAGTAAATCTATAATAAATTCGTGAAAATATTAAGTAGGTCTACTGCAGGTCGCGTCCAGTATTCCGAAAATACATAACTTTTTGATATGGAAATGAAACGTTAGTCTTAATAAGATTTATTCAACTTCTTATAATTTCGATAAAGTTTTGTTTGGTAGTAATTTTGGAAAAGTTGTGTATACGTTTTTTCAAAATATCGAAATGGAATCTATGTTTAGTAATCTTTCGTTCCAGCATCCCTGTTCATTTTATGGGTTCTCTAAAACGAGAATTATTATTAATTATTTAAATGATACTACAATTATTATATTTCTTATTATTTCATATTAATTTGTTTCTCATCTTCAAACGTGACTTCTATAAATGCCTGTTTTAATGTGTTGTTATTGTAATTTTTTATTTGCCATTGTTGCTACTGTTACAATAAATAAAATTACTATTATCATTGATATTGTTATTTCTTGCTTTAAAATTGCATTCACAAAATCATTGCAATTTACATTTTTAATGTTGCATTGATAATGTAATTTCACGTTCAATAATGAAATAATGAAACAGCTTCCAAACTGGTTATACTTTCACAAAATTTAGGATAATGCATACACATACAAACAAAATAAAACAACAATATAAGGTTTTCACTGTAGATAATATTTAATAATGAATGCAAACCTTGCATATGAAAAAACAAAGGCGTTAATAATAATTACGTATTAAGCATATCAATTATCAGTAAAATATTATGTATAATGCATATTCATAAGAAAAACCGATGAGCGAACTGCACACTTAAGGAATAATATGTTAATCCAATCAGTTTTAAAAGCATATCGATTATTAACATATACTGAAGGTCTAATGCACATTTAGCATTCCTCTCGATTGTCGTTATATGCATAATAAACATTATTATTCATTCAACATATTGGTTACTGATCTATAGGTAAGGCTTATTATACAAGAATCGATATTATATCTACATCCCTAATGCATATTCATTTAGCCTGTCGCATATTAATCTGTTTAAAAGCTGAATATTCATGTACTTTACTAACACATTCATACATACCATATGAATATTCATTAAGCCTGCAGATTTTCGGTAAATTTTATAGGACTAATGCATAGTCATAAATAATTGGTACATAGTATTGACGAGCAATATAAAGTTCTCTTTTGTCAAAAACATTATTATTACGCATCAATCAATCTAAATATTAGGACATTATCATACATGATACACCAGGTAGGCTTGTCTTAATGTTTTAGATAGCTTTTTATTGTTTCAATATGACACGGTAATAAATTAGCAAAAGGGATATCTTCTTTTTTTTTGTTTAGGATAGGCGAGGACACCGTCCACTTTACACCTTGTTTATTTATTTATTTTTTTCAATTTGTTTCTACAATGCAACAAAAAACCTATCACCATGACAATATAGAGTTTCTACTTACAGTATGTTTCAGAATGATAAATAAAGAAAAAAAGGAAACACAAGTTGAACAAATATAGAATACTGTATGTTCCAGGAAATAAATACAATGTTGTAGACAAAAAGAAAAACAATGTTGATGATGACAACAACCCCAAACTTCCAACCTGTACTCAGGGGTAAACAAGTCTATTATTTCACATTCTTTATTCCCTCAAATATAAAATTAAGCTGGGCAGTCACTGCATTGTATGGCGGTCGTACATCCAACACCAATAGTTGGTGGCAGTCTTAATGGCGCGCGCGCAATGGATCGTTGCACGCTCCATGGAAACACGTCAGCCTACGACCATCGTGCGCAGTAAGTGGCCAAGCTGGTGTGGATTCCTAAGAGACAGAAAGTTTTCAAGACATTGCATAATAAAAAATAAAACGTTATATATATTAAATAAAACATGATATTTTAAAACTTGGTAGTGACAACTCCTCAACCAGTGATGATGTTTAAAAATATATCATGCTTTCATTGAGGTGTTTCTTTAAATCAAATTGTATATCATAGTAAGTTGTATATATTATAAGGAAATTAGAAAATAATAAACCAACTAGTAACAGCCATTAAAAGGTGTAAAGGTAGTGTATGTACATACAGATTCCTATTTTCAAAATAACAATACAGTAAAGTAAAGGTTTAATAAGCCGAAAGAATAAAATATATTTTAATCAGGCAATTGTTTCCATAACAGAAACATTTACTAATACTGTAAGTTGACTGCCAATCAATCTATCAATCAATCAATCAATCAATCAATCAATCAATCAATCAATCAATCAGTCAATCAATCAGGCAATCAATCTTTATACCTTAGCAGTGACTATGATTAATCTGTGAAATGAAATATACATAGTTCAATTCACTAACATGAAAATGCAATAATTTAATTAGATTTCTATAAAACTTATTTCACTTGTTGGAAAAAACCTTTACATATATATTTTCTTTAAATTATGGATCCTTATGTTTTCAAATAAAGTATTTGTTGTAAAAAAATATTAGAAAACTAAATTAAAACTCGAACTGCCTCCAATTCATTATTGGGAAGGTTTTTTTTCCAGGCATACGCCTAAACCAGTATGAGGTTGTAATGTTAAGTCCTGTTGTTGCTGCAAAACATTTGTTTTTCACTGTTGTTACTTTAGTAACGACCACTTCAATTGGTCCTTCGCACTTTGGAAAACCTGGTGAGATACAAACAATACAAATCATATGAACAAAAAATTAATTAAAATGAATACATAAAAAATAAGTAAACTAACCAATCAGAAAACAAAATAAGTTGAGCAAGTCCACAATAATTAATAACCCTTAAAACTAACAGGTTGTTAATAAAAAAAAGTCTCAGATAACAACAAAAGTCTCTATAGTAACAAGTACTAAAGGGCTCTCATGTATTCCCATGCGAATTTTCTTCCATAAATATTTATGGGACATTGTGTTTTAATCAACAGTACATCCTTCCCGATGTCAATGACCTCATTGTTACACTTTCCGACCCTTGGGGAAGTTTCCTATGGGTTATGCCTGTATTACTCATTTGTGACCGGCAGTTCACTGGTGTCCCCCTGGACATGGTCTAACTAGCACCCAAAGGCCTGGCTACAGAAATTAAATATGATGATGCTTATCACGCCAATGCATCATGTTTTATCTGTTTTAACACACGATACACATCAACTTTACACTTCATGCTCTGGTAATCAGATCCAGACGAGAGAAATTAAAAGTTGAATTTAAATGATTTGTAAAAACACCACAGACAGGCCAGTAGTTTATGCGTAATTTTTATATTTAAAGCAGTTTTATATATTTTATTTATCTTTAAAATATTAATTATTTCTGATTACATTACATTGTATTATATTATATTACATGATATTACCATTACAACTTTGACTTATAACTTGATACAAAATCTGAAGACAGTGATGCAAGTCATCATCGAAATTTAAAAGTTTATTAGTTCATCTTCAAGAATAAAGACAAACCGAACATATATATTCACTAAATTCAATGTAGTATCATGCAAAATTTAAAAAAAAAAAAATTAAAATAAGCTTGTGAAGATATATTACTCCTCCTGCTAAGGTCCCCAACAAAACTCTGGTTGATTATTTTTTAAACACATTCGCTGCCAGCAACGAGTATAGTCGTCCCAAAGGGTGTTGCTGGGGATGCTAGGGACAGCTATAATCATCAAAATCGGGGTAGCATTCTAGCATTTATTACTTCATTGTTGTAGAGCCAAAGACTTAACTGGTAGTTCGGGGAATATACACCTAGACTCTAATGTACAAATAACGTATGTATGTTTGTTGTGTTATGTCGCCGGTAGGCGGTAGTACACTCAATTTTACAAGTGGAGGTGCCCTCTGAACATATACTAACCATGCAAAAAGTGGACGAGAAAAGTTGTACTAGGGAGAGGCAAAAAAAAGTACTGTCCCACTGCCGGCGATGTTACTTGTCCCCTAATATTTTCCTGCCAATTTATTAGACACTATTTTGATGATATATGACAATATAAAATATCAAAAAAGCATGTTTATACATGTATATTTGTTTTGGTCCATGGAAAGGAACCTCAAAAAAAAAAAAAAGTCTGGCAGTCAATGTTTTTTTTACATAAACAAGAACAAGTACACTACTCAAATAAACCCTTCCACTAAAGCCATACCCCTTGAATATTGTTGCTAAGGTGTGGCACTTTAAATATTGTAAAAGTACATAAAATTGCATGTTTGTGGGACATTCGCATATTCCTGGCTATTAAATAACATACTCTGATTGGTCAGTTGTTTGACATTCCAGAAAGGTCCACTATAGGATGGACCAATGTGATGTGATGTGACCCCCTGGAAGGGGAGTCACTTAACCACAAAATCAAAGAATAGGGCCCTACACCTTTTTCATGATAATCATAAATATAAAAATAAAATGTTGTTATGTTTGCTTTAAACTTTTAGTTTCAAGAGATTCAAGATGCAGTTCACTTGATGTTTTTAAAAAGACTCTTAAAACTCATTTATTTCAAGTTGCTTTTAATCATTAATTGTTTTTATCATTGTACTTTTATGTTATTTTTTTATTTTCCATGTTTAGTATGTTTGTGTGCGCCTCGGAATAGGTTTACCTAGATAAATGGCACATTATGAATGAACTATTATTATTATTATTATTATAATTATTAAAATTAAAATATGTTACTATTACAACCTATCCTTAAATAAACTAATATGATATGCACAAAATCAAAATGTTCCTAATATTAAAGAAAAACAATATGTTTTTGTATGATATTAATGTCATCAGTTTATTAAACAGCAGGAATCAGTTAACATGGTTTTGGTCGCGGGTGATACCAAACTTGCGTTCACAACATGTTTTTCATTTACAGTCCAGGAAAGATGTACGAAACATATTGTCATTGTTCCATAGGGAACAATATGTCACTAAATTAGTCTCCTGTTAAATTCCCAGTGGATGTAGACCTCTATGATAACCTAAAGAAAAGTTGGCGCCTGTAAGGAGGTTAAACTTCGCGAAGAAAAAAATCATAAAATAATTGAAGGGAAAAAAAGATGGAACAGTTCGAAATGCGTCCCCTTGAGATCTCACAGCTTCTGAACTTTGTGATACAATACCCCCAGCTTGCATTTTCATAAGGAAATGGGAAAATCTGCATATCACAGATGTTCAACAAATGTCTTATCTTTCTTTCTCTGATGTTTTAATTTCTATTAGAACATTTTGAGATGGCAATAACAAATAAACCACATTCATGACAGGTTTACTCCAGATTATTTTTTTCTGCTTAACTCACCTCAGCATGTTCTAAATTTTACAAGATTGATTTTGATAACAGATAATATGTGGATAAAGTAACTCAAGTAGTAAATATCATTATAATATTATTATTAAAATATTATTTTTATTATCATTTAATTATTCATGTTGAAATTTTATGTAAGTAATGATTTTCCCACAATTTTGTAACTTGAGAAGTTGAAAATGAATCCATAATTTGTTATTTAATGTAGATTGTACTAATGTGTGTAAATGTAAAATGTAAATGTATTAATATTAATCAGATAGATATAACTGCTGTGTTATATACAAATACTGATATACCGTACACCGTATTTACTTTAATTCAAATACAATATTTCACTTAGCATGAACAGTACATTTAAACAAGGTATGTTTGCTGCCACCAATAGTAAATATATCACTGTCATTTGACTGATTCATTCTTGTGGTTTTGCTCTACTCTAAATACTTAAATTCTTTATTACTTTAAGAGATATAAAGTCTCCACAGTATGTAAGAGAAAGATTAAATAGTTCATACACACGGTCACATGACCCTTAGCAATTTACTACAATCTAACTATAAGCAAGAGGATCCAGATTATTGAGACCCATGCTGTATTACGCAGCTAATCACAGCACGACACATTCAGGATATTTAAATTTTCAAAAGATGAATGATGTCATTTAATTTAAGCTACAGTATAAACTTGAATGTAGGAGATCTGTTTCAATAACTGCACACACATGCCCAGAAGCAAATCATGGATGTATCTGCCAGGAGTTAAAGTGCTGTGTGGTGTTAAGTGACAATTGATGAAGGGGGTGTGTTTAGGAGGGGGAGTTCCCCAAAATAAAGGGGCTGTGGGGATTTCTTTTGGCACTCCATGAATCTGCTGCTGCAACTATTCACAATGTACTTCCTTCTTCAAGCAATTTATACTTCTGACAAATAGAATATATTTTTTTTTCTATGATCGAATACCTTGCGAGAATACTACAAATTAAAAAAAAAAAATAAGAAAAAAACAAACTAGTAAATGCTTAAGTACATTAAAAACCAAAATCCCCCATCACACTTGAGAACGGATTGCCAAAATTTAAAAAAAAAGTATAAGAATCCCCCGCTGCAAAATATAACTTAATATTTATTATACAGTAGTTTCACTTTTAAAAACAGAGGCACACATTTGAAGTAGACAAACACATAGTACAAAAATGTATAATAAATAAACAAAAATAATAAGAAATAAAAGAAATATTAAACCTACGGACAGATAAAAAATTAATAAATGCTCATTTAATCATGTGGGTTTTGTTGGGTGATATTGAAAATTTCCATATGGAAAATCAATGGAATTAACAGCTTTTGATCACACATCATATAACTAATAAAAAATAAGTATAAAATAAATCAACAAAGAGGAAATCACTAAAAACTGAATAGTTATTAACATTTTTAAATGACACAAAAGCATGTGAAAAAAAGCAATATGCATTAAGCTTAGAAATTGAAGAATTGACATAAAAAGTTCAAACTTCTGAAAGAAATTGACAGAAACATTGATATACAACAGAATACATAGTACTTATAAACGCGAATAAGGATCTCTCAAAACGTCCAAAAAAGTTGTTTACTAATAGACATCTGTCACTACATCTGTTACTATGTTAAAATTTCCATCCTTTGCATCATCCTTGTCCATATCATCCTACGACACAGCCATAGCAACCAAACGCCTATTGCGTATTCCCGCGGCACCATAAGTAGTGTCTGAATTCTGAAGTGAAACGTTCTTTTGTAGAATCTTTTTAGAAATAGCAGAATATTCTATGAGGGCAAGGTATCACTTTCTCTAGGTGAAAAATGCAATTTATAAGTGTGGTTCATATCATATCATGAGGAAAATTAGTCTAAGATTTGTTCTTTATAAAAATAAGTATATACTGACTATATTTAAAATCATAGAAAAACTCTCTAAAATTAAAAAAACAACTCATTTAAAAATTCAGTTTTGACTGATTCATTGCCTTTTAAATTTATTTTTAAGTTAACTTGTTTACCATCCAATAAGCATCTATGGTTAAAATCGTTATTATTATTATTATTAATACCATTCCTATATCTAAAAGACACAGGAATGGTATTACTTTATGCTTAAACATTAACTGGCAAGAACAAATATATTTCTTTATTAACTTTTAATAGAAAGCTAATGATTAGCTCAAAATACAAATTCAAAAAACTAATTTAATAAAAAGCAATACATTCTTATATTAAATTATTCCAAAATAAATGATGTGTTAGATGATGTGATGTAAATGAAATGTAGTACTTAAATGATTTTGGCTTTATCAGAGTTTTGTACAACAAAACTCTTTCTGTGATAGATCATGATGGTGATGGGATATAGTGTAATGGTCAGACATTTGGGTTATAGCAATAATATATTATATCAAAATGGTACCTAATAAAGAGATATTTTCAAGTTTTTATTTAAAGCCAGCATATGTAAAAAAGACAAGCCAAAACAGTCACTCCTCGCAAAAAATTGATTTTTAATTATTATACATGGTTAAGCAGTAAAATGAAAGTTATAAAACGGTAAAAGATTCATTTAAATCTTACATGTCATTATGAAGTTACAGGAGTTTAAATATGCAGCTGTTTAAACTAGAAATTGCAAATTGCAAGTGAAGTGCTACGAAGTAAAACTGCATAAAATGTTCTTCGAACAAAATTATTTATGCGAGTCAAGTGAAAATAATGAATAATAAAAATATAACAAATAATATGAGACACGACCCATTGTCTATATTAGAACAGCGTTGGTACCGTGTACAATCTGTCTCTTATACACATCTACTCTCTGGACAGTACTTCACTATATACTGCCGCCCTTGAGCAGTTTTCTCTGGATAGACCCTATGACTGCCGTTTACATTTTGTCCGGAAGTTTGGGGGGACAGTCCATATGGCTGATATTCTTTCCAAGGCCCATTCTGAAGCAACTAATAAAATACAAAGGAACGTTAGCAAACTATCACAGTATTGTGTAAGTGTTACAGAAAGATTTAAAAAATCAACATTACCCTTTTTAATAAAAAAATGAATTGGTGTAAACTAATCAATAATGATATTTTGACAATTGTTCATATTTTCAAACAAATTTGTATATTTTAATAAATTACAGTTGTAATAATAATTATGCTAATCATATACCGCAATATATTTTTTAAATTTTAAAAATTATTTTTTAAAATATATTTATTCTTTCTGTATAATATCTTTCTCTTTTAATCCGTTTTAACTTTTAATTTTTTAATTTTTT